ACCTGCTGTGTGTTCCCGTCCATGTATGTATTGTTTTGCCGTGGGTTGAGTGATGGGGTGCTTGCTCACCGCATTCATGTCGATGCCGTTGGTGTAGGACCAGGCGTGTTGGAAATACTCCTCCAGTCGCTGACGCAGGGGGTTTGGGATCTGGTGGAAACGGATGAATTCCTTGACCCGGAGCATCTGCGTGTGGTAGCGGGCCGTACCCGAGTACAGCCTCTGGATGATGGCGGAGACGTTCCCAAAGATACTGGCGTACATCAGAGCTGAGGACAGGTCAAACAACAGACACGCCACTCAGTTAACGCGCTCTCTGCCGCGCCAGGTTAGGCGTGAAACAGGAGGAGGCCATTCAGCCCTTCGAGCCGGTTCCAGCGCTCGATAGGATCGGGGCTGATCTGTACCTCAAGTCCAATTGCCCGCCCCCCCCTTGCCCCGTATCCCTCGAGACCCTGACACAACACCAGGCAGCATCCACGGAGGGAGGAAAGCGAGTCCGAGCTTCGTCAGACCTCGGAAGCTTTAACTTGACTTTCCTCCCGCCGTCGATGCTATCCGAGCGTTCCCAGCGTCTCGCTTTTTATTACCGGACGTGAGCCTGGATCCGAGCTCAGGCCGGTCGCGCAGCGAGTCGGAAAATGGGTCCGTTCGGGAAATGTACACTTGTACATCTCAGCTCCAGCATCGCTCGAAGCACGTACCTACGCGTGTGTGCGCGCGTGTGGGGTGCGTGCGTGTGTGGGGTGCGTGCGTGCGTGTGTGTGTGTGTGTTCTTTTGATGGTCAGTGGGTCGGGTCGTTCCTCGCGGCATGAAAGACGCCACATCAATATAATTTGTCGCCGGTGCTAGTCAGTTGGTTGAGTAGTTAGGTGTTTGGTTGGGGAGGTGTCAGTGTCGTGGTTACTGTTAATATTGCAATTATTAATATTGTTGTTATTCTGTTATTGCTCTGTTCGTGTTGGTACTATCGATAATCCTGCTTTTATGGTTGCTCTCGTCATTATAGATCTGCTATCCTTTTTGTTATAATGCAGCTGTTTATCGTCATTGTTGATAGTGTTGTTCTGCAGTTATCGTTTGTGAATATTATTAATATCGTCGTTGCGTCACTGTCGTTGTTACTGTCTGTTGTCGTGAATATCGGTGGTGTTGTTCTGTGATTATTCTGTTGTTATCGATATCATTGTTGTTCGGTTTGATGTTCTTGTGACTGCATATTGTTGGCGGTGGTCTGCGATTGTTCGGTCGGGGTCAATATTGTCGTTGTCGTTGTCCAGCGACTCGTACGTCCTCCCGAAAACGCGCCGCAAGTGTAATCTGCCGCTGTCGTCTGTCGCTCCGTCGTTAAAGCTGTAGCTGTGCTTGTCGCCGCGGCAGGTGCTGAAGGGCTTCCCCGAGTGCTTGCAAGCGGACATCTGCCTCCACTTGAACCGGAGTCTGCTCCAGAACTGCAAGGCCTTCAGGGGAGCGAGTCAGGGCTGCCTCCGAGCCCTGGCCATGAAGTTCAAGACCACCCACGCTCCCCCCGGCGACACCCTGGTCCACTATGGGGACGTCCTCTCGGCCCTGTACTTCATCTCCCGCGGCTCCATCGAGATTCTCCGCAGCGACGTGGTGGTAGCCATCCTAGGTACCCGCGCGCGCTCTCTCTGTCACACACGCACGCTCTCTCTGTCACACACGCGCGCTCTCTCTGTCACACACGCGCGCTCTCTCTGTCACACACGCGCGCTCTCTCTCTGTCACACACGCTCGCTCTCTTTGTCGCTCTCACACACCCTCTCTCTCTAACACAGGTGCTCTCTCTCTCTAACACACGTGCTCTCTTTGTCGCTCTCTCACACACGCTCTCTCTCTCACGTGCTCTCTCTCTCTAACACACGTGCTCTCTCTCTCTAACACACATGCTCTCTCTCACACACATGCTTTCTCTCTCGCACACGCTTTCTCTCACACACAGGCTCTCTCTCTCTCTCTGCCGTTAGCAAAACACGATGGATGTCTGAGGTGCGAGTGGCATTACCAATTACGATCGTTCATCCACACCCACGCGCCCCCCCCCCCCCCCCCGCCGTCTCCCGGGGGCCAAACCGATCGAACTGTGGCCTAAATCTCCTAAACAAAACAATGATCGACAATCACCCTCTAAGCATCTGCTTACACGACTTGTAACACCCAAAAACACGGCAAAGGTGATTTACCTGAGGGCTCAATCGCTGTCAGATGCCGTTGACGGTGTGCGTTGTTGTAACCCGCAGGAAAGAACGACACCTTCGGGGAGCCCATCGGCCTGTTCGCCCGGTCGGGCAAGTCCAACTCCGACGTGAGAGCTCTGACGTACTGCGACCTCCACAAAATCCTGCGCGAGGACCTGCTCGAGGTGCTGGACATGTACCCCGACTTCTCCGACAACTTCTGGACAAACCTGGAGATCACCTTCAATCTGCGAGACGTGAGCTCACTCTCTTGGTGTGTGTGTGTGTGTGTGTGTGCGCGCGCGTGTGCGTGTGCGAGAGAGCGAGCTTGCTCTTTGGCGGCGTCTGTGCTTTGAGTGTGTTTGTGCGTGAGCGAGTATTTGTGAGTGTCTGTGTGGGTGAGTGAGTGTGTGTGAGTGTCTGTGTGTGAGTGTCTGTGTGGGTGAGTGAGTGTCTGTGTGGGTGAGTGAGTGTCTGTGTGGGTGTCTGTGTGGGTGAGTGAGTGTGTGTGTGAGTGAGTGTGGGTGAGTCAGTGCGTGAGAGTGTCTGTGTGGGTGAGTGAGAGTGTGTGAGTGTCTGTTTGGGGGAGTGAGTGAGTGTGGGTGAGTGATTGTGTGTGATTGTCTGTGTGGGTGAGTGAGTGTCTGTGTGGGTGAGTGAATGTGTGTGAGTGTCTGTGTGGGTGAGTGAATGTGTGTGAGTGTCTGTGTGGGTGAGTGAGTGTCTGTGTGGGTGAGTGTCTTTGTGAGTGAGTATCTGTGTGAGTGAGTATCTGTGTGAGCGAGTGTCTGTGTGTCTGTGTGGGTGGGTGAGTGAGTGAGTGAGTGGGTGAGTGTCTGTGTGGGTGAGTGAGTGTCTGTGTGAGTGAGTATCTGTGTGAGTGTCTGTGTGGGTGGGTGAGTGAGTGGGTGAGTGAGTGTGGCTGAAGCTGTAGTAAAGTGACTGTATTAGGCAGACCGAATTCCCCGATCTCCCCCGAGTGAGGAGTCCGACTGCGGCTACAAGCGAGTGAGACGGAGAAAGCTGTCGTTCAGGAAGCGGCAAGGACCAGGTCAGAGGGTTACCCCAACAACAACAACAACAACACGCTTACATTTGAGCTGCGTCCCTCCCGGGCGAGATGTTTGGCGAGTTTCCTTACTCCACACACACACACGCACACACACACACGCACACGCGCCTCTGTTTACCAGGCAGTAAGCAGCACTAACCCGGTTGTTAGTCGGCTGACGGATCGCTTGTCCAGTGATAATAATACCTCCCCCCAAAAACAATAATAAATCGGTCGCTCAATCCACGGCTGTTTGTGGGGGGCGGAGGGCGGAGTGGGGGTGGAAACGCTGCCGTGCGCAAATGGCCGCCGCTTTTCGCCCACGAAATGCGCAGTCAATTCCGGTTACAGTGCACGTGCTGAGATGTCTCGGGGAGACGTGAAGAGGCACATGCAAGGATTGTGATGCCTCCTGTTTTCAGGGGCGGCCTGCGGAGGGGCCGCAGAGGGCGACCGAGCCTTTCTGCTCGACCATCACGGCTGCCAGGGTGGGGGAGATCAGTGGGAGTACGTGTGCAGCAGTATGACTCCCTGCTCCCAGTCCAGCGAGGAAACCAAAGCCTCCAGCCTCCCCGAGGCCACCGGAGACTTCCCCTCCACCACGGTCAACTTCCTGGGCTCCGACCTCAGCCACAGCCGCCCTGAGCCGGGCAGGAAAGTCATCAGTTCCAACCCCTTCACAGGTTCGTGGCCTCAAAAACCTCCCGAACAGCCTCGCCCCGCGACCGCCCTTTTTGTCTCAGAATGTTTATTACGGCTGTTTCTTTGGTGGGGGTGGGGGGGGGGTAATAAATAGTGGGGTAATAAACACCGCTTTAATAAACATAGGTGGCCGCGCTTTCAGCCACCGGGCCCCGAAACTCTATCCCTCCGCCTTGCCTCTCCCTCCCTCCCTCCCTCCGTCTACACTTCCCTCTAACCCCCCCGACTCTAACGCGCTCCCACTGCCCTCCCCTCTACCCCTCACTCCCTCTATCTACCCCCTTCTACCCCCCAACTCCTTCTATTCCCCCTTCCCCCCCCCTTTAACCTCGCCCCCCCTCTCTCTCTCTCTCTCTCCTTCCTCGCCAACCCTCCCCATCTTCAGGTCGCACCTGAAGACCCTCCTCTTCGTCCATGCCATGTGGGTGCGGGGACGTTGCGGTGCGCAAACCGGCCTCTGGTTTGCTGACTGTGCAGGGACGATCCTTTCAAAAACAAATCAAGGAAGGTTTCCGTGAGGAGATAATATCTGGGGATACGGTCTCCATTTGGGGGGGGGGGGACATGACATGCGGCTGTCAGGATGGTGGAAGGCAAACTGGAAGGACCCTTGGTCTTCGCTTGCCCAGCAAAAGTTCTTACGTTGCCCCCATTCGACCTAACCTCTCTCTTCACCCCCCACCCCCCACCACTCTCTCGCCAGCTGCTTTCACGAGCGTCTCCAACATGTTCAGCTTCTGGGGCGACAGCAAGTCCAACCGGGGCTCGGAAACACAGAGACGCTCGCTGTCTGCTCACGCCAACCTGGGCACCGCAGCCAGCATAGAGGACAGGGCGCGGACTGAGGTGGAATCCCGATTGGAACTGCTCCACGCGCAGCTTAACAGGTGAGGAGCCGCAGTGCACCTGCTTCACCCCCCCCACACACACACACACACACACAGGCCAGGGACTGGGGTGGGGGCGCGGGGGGGACACGGAAAGACCCAACGATTGATGTGGAGTCCTGTCGCTCAGTAGTTAGAGCACTCGCTTTGCGAGCGAGAGACCTGAGTTCAATTCCAGGCAGAGGGCGAAACCTCGGGCAAGTTTCCTTACTCCACACAGAGCCTAATAATAATCCCTCCAAAGCCAAAACAATAATAAATTGGTCATTTTCAACCCACGACTGTTTGTGGGACATTGCTGTGCGCAATTGGCTGCTGCGTTCGCCCTCAAATATACAGTCAATTCACTTTACAGTGTGTTCTGTGAAGCGCTTTGGGACGTCCTCCCGACGTGAAAAGCGCTATATCAAATGCAAGGATTATTATTATTATTATGATTATTATTCCTCCGATCCTCCTGCAGGCTGGAGAGCCGGGTGACGGCAGATATCGGTGTGATCCTCCAGCTGTTACAGAGGCAGGCGGTGGCTGTGCCTCCAGCCTACAGCTCCGTGTCGCCCCCGCCTCAGCCGGAGGACATCTACGGTCCGGTTTCGGCACCACCGAAGGCCTCGGCTCACGTCGCCGCTCCTCTCGAAGCCAACACTACCTCGCTCCCCCTGGAGGTGACCATCGAGGTACAGTCCCCGCTCACCCCCACACCTCCTTCTCCCCCCCCTCCACCCCCCACCCACGGCAGCCTGTTTTGCGCAAAGAACAACAACAACGACGACGACTTGGACTTACACAGCGCCCTCCACGCCGGACGGCGTCTCGGAGCGCTTAGTTAGCCGCGCGCGTGCATTTGCGCTCGTGTTTGCTCGCGGGCTCCGTCTCGAAATAAATCGAGGCAAACGCTTCCCTCTAGTGGTAGCAACCAGAGAGAGAGAGAGAGACAAAAAAAAAGTCACTACACTTGACAGTAACTGCTCGCCGACACACACACACACGCGCTCGCGCGCGCGAAAACACCGGAGTGGCCGCTCGAGGGTGGACCCGCGCGAGGATTAAGGGCTCACGTTCTCGTTCCTTTCCCTCCCAGAGGCCGTGCTACACCGACTCGGAGAAATTCCGGATGAGATCCGGGGAATCGCTGCGCGGAGGGACGCTCCGGCCCGCGTCGGAGACTTCCCGCCCGGGGTCGGACCCGGACCAGCCTGCAGGCAGGCCGCCCCCTCCCTCGCCGGCCTCGTTCAGGGCCTCTCGCTTCCCCTCGCTGCCGGAGAGCGGGGAAAGTTCCAGAGGGAGCGCGGACGTTCAGAGACACGCTTCGGACCCGGTGCTCTCGAGCAGCTAGGATCGGATCGGATCGGTTCGGATCGGTTCGGGTTGGGAAACGGCAGAAAAATCATCCGGCACTTTTTTTTGCCTCCCCCCCCCCTCTCCTCTCCTTCCCTCTCCCCTCACCCACACCAACCACTCCCTCCGCCCTCCACTCGAGAGGTTTTTTTTTTGTTTTATTTATAAATACGTAACTGCACCGTAGGGAGGAGGATCGGTCGAAGCTCTGCGGGAGAGACGTGCCGAGATCGATCGCCGGAGGGTGCCGCGAGCCGGTGGCTTTCGCAGGCGCGGGCGACACGGTGGACGGTGCATCGAAGGGCAGAGCAGAGTGAACTCACTCACTCACTCAAGCACTCACTCACTCAAGCACTCACTCACTCAAGCACTCACTCACTCAAGCACTCACTCACTCAAGCACTCACGTCTTTGGAGGAGGCCTCGATAGCCATTTAATGTCGGGCTGCCGGCTTTTCGGAAGGAACGAGGCAGTTTCTCTTGGGCCGACGCAACTCCCCGCAGTTCTCGTCGACAGCGTCTGCAGTACTTTGCCTTGTTTTTTTCCACGCCCCCCCACCCCCGCCACCCCCTCGTCTAATTCACCAGAGTAGCTCGGGACTGGTTCGATCATCTCGCTGCTATTTCGTGGGACCGTCGGGCCGGTCGGTACGCAGCTGAGCGGCCGATAAAACTCTTGCTTCCTCCCGCCAGTCAACACACCCAACAACCCGCCCGTGGCGCGAAGCGGGTTTGAGACGCGCTATATTTAAACTGTTTAAACCGCCGCAGCCGCGAAGAGAGATGGAGAGAGAGAGAGAGAGAGAGAGCGCAAGAGACTACTTTCTCCGAGAGACCAGACCTACTGAGAGGCGTTTTACGGACAGCTTCAGTACTGGAGATTTGGACCTTTTTATTTTCCTCTAAAGCTTTTACAAGCGACAGCACCCACCCACCCACCCACCCATCGCTGGTGTCAGCTGGGCTGATTCAGTCACCCTCTTCACCGCCCGCCCCCACCACCCGTCGAGAGCTCAAGCGCCGGGTGGTGACCCGTGAGCTCCCAGGCCAGGGGCTGACCCTCCCGCGCAGTGTTGGCGAAGGAAGTTCCTTGTCCTTTGGAACCCAGGACCGCACCAGCACCTCGGGACGTCCTCCCGACGTGAGCGAAAGGCGCTACGCGAGCGTGATTTGTCGTCGTTCAGGTCCACGCTGTTAAAAAGGCAAACACGCTGTATTTGGAAAGAGAAAGAGGTTTCTCCCGGTGACCCGGCCAAGCAAACCCCCCACCCCCCCCACCCCCACCGATGGTAAATTGGGTCATTTACCACGGCCCGTTTGAGAGACCGTACATCCACTCGGTGGCTGCATTTTCCTACGAAACGAAGAGTCACTGCACTTGACAGCGAATGGCTGTGAAGAGCTCGGGCGATGTTCCGCAGTGTCCGGGGCAAATGGAAGATTCTTTTTATTATTTGCATCGAAGTCCACACTGGAGGCTTTACATTTCATGCAATCAATCAGCTGTTAGTTCTACACTTCATGCAATAAAGTACGTAGGAACCCGGTTGTTAGTCGATTGGCGGATGGCTTTCCAGAGGTAATAATCGCTCCAAAAAAATAATTTGGTCACTCAAACCGACTGTTTTGTGGGATACTCCTGTGTCCAATTGGCTGCTGCGCTTTAGAGTACATTCTGTGAAGCACTTCGAGCATCTCAACGACACGATAAGGCACTACATCAAATGCAAAGGTTATTATTATTACTTACTGTGGATTATACCCGGTTTCTGTCCAGATTCACCCGTTTTGAAGCCACACGGGCTCTTTCGTTTGGCACCACACCGACTTTTGTAACCGAAATATGAGAAGGGGGGGCGGTGGGAGAGGGGGTTTACAGGGAGAGAAGGAAATGTAATTTGTTCAAGACCCTCGAAAGTGAGAGATATGCTTCGGAGTAGAGAATAAAACTTAGATTGACTGGTTGAGTAACGTCATTATTAAATAATGTACCAATACAATATATCAGGGGCAATTAATGACTGACGCCAAAGTCCGACTTCAGTGTTCTTTTATTAAGAAAAAGTTAACATCTTATATTTTTCCATTGTAAACAAAACCAAACCAGTCTACGTCTCTAAGAAAGCACTAACGCATTCACCGTTGTACAAGAATGGACAAAAAAAATATCCTGGCATGAGATAAATAGTATAAATGTTAGCATTTACAGCATAAATGGGGAGGGAGGGGGGGGATTCACAAGTGCCAGCTTTCTCTTTCTTAAAGAAGAGAAAGCTGTTCTCTTCAACAGAGACGCTCCTTCAAACGAAAAACAATTCACAAGTCTATTTTTGGGGGGGGGGGGGGGGGGGAGAAAAAAAGCTAAATCTGAGGAACTTCAAATAATTAAAAAAAAACTCAAGCAATACACTCTCTCAAATATCCCTGACTCGCTTCGATGTACAGTATTATTGGAATTGACTTCATTGAGGAGGAAAAGATAAGAGGTGGGTGGGGGGGGGTGGCGGTGGGGGAAGGAAAAGCACTCCAGCAAAATGACTGCAAACAGCTCCCAGAGGGATAAATGTTAGAGAGGGGTGGGTGGGGGGGGGATAGAGAGAACTAGAGGGGGAGTGAAATATTTACATTAAACCTGTTAAGTTTTCCAAAGCAAGAGTGACGGGTTTCAGAAGCTGATGCAATTTTTAATGGGGTTCAGAGTTCTTCAACTTGCTGGGCTAAGAGGGAGTATGTTTGCAGGTTAACTGGTTAACTACCCCCCACCCACCCTCTCTCTCCACCCCCCCCCCCCCCGCCACTCCGCCCGAGCTGGGAGTTGTGCTTCACTCCGCATAGGCAGAAGAGAAGTGCGCGCAAGCACGTACACACCTCACAGATACGCACCCCAGTACAATTGTAGTAACAGTATGTTATAGTAACATACTAAACAGTGAGCTCTGAAATCTAAATGGTACAGAGGTGGGAGTGGGGGGGAAGAGAAGGGGAAGGGAAGAGAGAGACACTACAGGTGAAATGTCACTAAACAACAAAGACCGGACACTGCATTGACGGGCGACTTTTAGATCTCGCGGAAGGGGTGAACGGCCAATGCCGTCTGAGCCGTTGAGACAAAACGCAACAAACTGAAATGGGTTTGGAGGCGGGAGAGAGCTTTTTATAACAGGCCTAACAGCAAGATAAACACACACGCACACAACGCGCGCGCGCTCCGAGTCGAGCAGTAACCCCAAGATGGCATTGGAGGCTCCGGTCTGAACGCCGCAGCCCGCAGCCAACGCCAGCACCTTGCTAAACTCCAGGCAACGCGAGCACGGAGAAAAAAAAAACTGCAGCTTTTACGAAGAAAAAAAAAAATAGTTTTTGACACGAGCTCCTGCACCACTGAGGCGGCCAGGCCAGGCCAGGGCTGGACACCAGCTGCGTGCAGTGCGTTAAACAGCACCGCAGACCCCATGCGACCGAGCAGCAGGTGTCCCGTGCAGCCCCACACATCATCCATTGCAAGCGCATCATTCCCAGGTTGGGAAAAAGGGCTATTTCTTTTTTTAAAAAAAATTGCGCTGACGAGGTTGGGCAAAACTGCACTATTTTCGCTGGTCGCAACAGGGCAATTTCAGGCCACGGAGGCAGCTTGGGGGGGGGGGGGGGGAGGGGGGCGCCAGCCCGAACCGGGGATGGCGGGTGGGCGTCGAGAGGCCTGCCCCTCAGGGCAGTGTTGCGTGGTGTTTGTCGCGTGGCCGGCGAGAGCGCGGTCAGGAACGGAGCCACTGTTTCCGCCGCGCACCGTGAGCTCCCAATCTTTGCCAACACCACGCACTGTCGGAGGGGAAGCGCCAGACACAGTGGCCAAAAGGGGGCAATTGAGGGAGGTGGTGGGGGGAAGTGGGTTAAAAGCCTGTACAACAAACAAGTACCCCTGGTACTGATATTCGCAGATGTGAATGGGGTGATGGGGAAGAGTTCTTTTTTTAAAAATCTGAATTAACTGTGACTGTAAAGGGAGTTAAATGAACACGTTGTTTAATCTAACTTTAACAACGCGCTGATGATCTTCCGTAGAAGGCTGACTGCGTGATACCAGGACTCAGCTAGTTTCCCCCAAGTAGCCTCCTAGCCTCGCGGACGAATACAACTCGCCTCACATCACCCAGCCGCTTCCAATCGTTAACCGATTCATTTTCTCGCCACCGCCTCTGGGGCTGCACAAGTTAAACCGAAATATTGGGGTGAGGAGGAGGAAGAGGAGGAGTGGACTGAAAAACCCTGCAAGCATCAACGCCCTCGCTCCCAAGAACGAAGGCGCTGTATTGTTGAGGCTGTGTCGTCTCCCCAGCTCAATGTCACAGAGGCGGGGAGCTGTCCAGGGAGGAAGACAAAGTAAGCTCTGCTCTCTCTCTCTGTTCCTACACCTCACTAGCTCGCTCTAACACGCCGTTTGCATTCCAGGCTCTCGCTCGGGACCCAATTATCTTCACCTACAAAATAAATGGGCTGAAAACTGCGGTGTGCGATGAGAGGAATTATCAGTGCCGGTCACGTTCCAGGGATTGAGAGGAAACACGGTCGCAGGCGGCCAAAAGGTTGATGGTCGCCGTCCGAGACCTCGAGCACCTTTGGGCAAAATGGTTGGGGGAGGGATGCAATTGGAGGGAAGAGGGGGTGTGCGTGAAGCTTCACCCCTCCCACCCCTCCAAAAAGCACTCGATGATTATAAATAGATTTGATATGGACAAGGTGATAATTAGCACATCGCATACCGCATTCTTGGCCCTTTTTTAAAAATTAATATCTATAGAGCGAGGGGGGCACACTTCACAACCATTCGATCACCCCCCCCTACTCTGGTGATATACGAACTCGGAAAATCTGGCTCACAATGTGGCATTGGCCGCACGTAATATTTTGCACCCCTGCACTTCGGAGGGAGGTCAGGAAAATAGGAGGGAGAGGGAAAGAAAAGCGGGGTAGGGATAGAAATCACTGGGACAGGTTGCCACAGACGCTAGACTTAATGCAAACTGACCGAGAAGCACATCTTATTTACAGGGTCTGGTCAAACAGCTTCACAAACCGGCGTCACTGAATCCCGGCTCATTAGTCCATCTCTCAATTTGGTTTTGGGGTTGCAGGTGGGGTGCAGGGGAAGGACGATGGAGTAAGATGGAGGGAAGAGCGAAAGAGGGAGGAGGAGGAGGAAGAAAGGAAGGTCTGGGATGACCTTCAAAGGGTTGATTCGAACCCCAAAAAATTGCATTCGCTATACAACAACACACTTTGAAGATCTGCACAAACACCCTCAACTGTACCTCACTCACGCCGCACATGTCTACATGAGCCCTGGGGCGAGGAATGGCAGCCACTGGGGAGGGAAGGGGGGTGGGGGTAGTGGGGGTTGGGGTGGGGGGCTACACCCGCAGAATCTCCAGACAGTTATTGTAGCAGATCGCTATCCAGTCGGGCTGGGTTGATGCCCACTGTACGTTGTTGATCTCGCCCTCCGCGGTGTAGGCGAGGATGGGGTCCTCAATGGCTCGGGGCATCTGCTGGATGTCCCAGATAAGTGCCTGATGGTCGTCCGCTTTAAATCAGAAGCAAAAAACGCACGAATATAAAAGAGCCCGCTTAGTTCAAACCCTGTCAAAAGCCCCCAAACCCATCCCCGCGGAAGCCCAGTGCAAATCGATCTGCCCCTTTAAGATTTTAACTCATACTTTTGAGACCTCTCGAAGACGTGATAAGGCGCTATATCAAACACAAGGATTAATATCATTATTAATAATAATATTAATATTAATCATATATTAATTGTAAGGCGTCACAGTGCCTTACAATGTCCCTCCGGTGGGAAAGGCGCTATACAAATGGAAATTGTTGTCGTGGAACATACTAAAAAAAATGCTTTTAAGATATGTCAAAATGTCTCAAAAGCGCTTCGCAGGAAACTTGTCGTTAAGCGAGTGAGGTGACTGTATCTGTAGGCAAACGTGTTTGATTGGTGATGGTTGTTTGATTGGTGAAGTCCTTCTTTCAGAACCCTTGTAGACTGCCATAATAATCCCTACATATAAATCAGCGCCTTTCACCGCGGGAGGACGTCTCAAAAGTGCTCGATGGGAATACTCGGGTCGAGGTGAACATGCCAAGCCTTACCTGCGGTGCAGATGTGACAGGAGGAGTGTGGCGCCCAGGCGATGCCGTTCACGCATGCTCGGTGATTGTTTAATCGGGCCACAGGAGTGCAGGGCACACGGACGTCGAGGATCACCACCTGCGGTGAGGAGGGAGACAGAAGAGACATGAACGGAGGTTGCTCAGCAGAACGACAACCACGCAGGGTTGCGCGTCGGAGCGCTTAACAGTGGCAGAGCCTGATGCCGAGCCGGGGCGGAGGGAGGGAGAAGGTGACCGTAAGCACGGTCGATCAGGAAGGTCTCCGGTTGAGGGAGAGTTCCAAAGCTTTACGACATCGTGGCTGAAAGCACGGCCGCCGATGGTGGAGTGGAGGGAAAGGTGGGGAGGTGCCAGGGCGTGGAGCTATCCGTAGACGACAAAACGTCGCAAAGCAAAACCTGGTCAAATGACAAAAGGTAAACACACAAATCTCAGTGCAGGAGGGAGTAGTACATCCAAAGCACCGAAGGGCCTTGTTCTGTGCTGTAACTGTCTGTGGTCCTATGTGATATATTACCTCCATGCCGTCCATAGCCATGGTAGCCAGGTAGTTGGGATCTTGTTTGTTCCAGCACAGACGGAGCAATGGGTGGTGCTGGGGGTCCTCGTAGATTATGGTGCTGTGTTCCAGGTGCCGAAGGTCAAACATGCGGACGGAGCCGTCAGCACCGACTGAGGCAAACATATCCCGGCCTCCTCCTGCCCTGCTGAACGCAATGTCGTAAACCTGCGGAGGGACGAGAGCAAGCGTCAGTGTGGTTCAGATCAGCCTTACTGCCCCAGGCACCCAAACACCTTTGAGTCCCATTGCTGGGAAGCGCTTTGAGACGAAGATATGACAAGGCGCTATATCAAATGCGATTATCATTATTATTGGTTCAACTGGTAACCTTCTGGTCCCGGAGTCAGGCGGCTGTAAGTTCAACTCCCCCACCACCAGGCTTTCACCTTCTGTGTTTCTCTCAATAAACCATTTGGTTTCAGCCCCCTTTCCCGGCAGTCCAATCAACTTTGACCGCACGCGTGCTCTGGCTTCCGGTTGTAAAGATTTGTCTTAAACTTATTGATGGAACTTTGCCCATCGTTACACTTGTATTGCTCTCCCAGTGGCCAATGGTTAACACTGAACTCTGTAACAAGACACCGGGTGCCTAAAGACACATTAACAGGCAGCCAGTCCCCAGCTCCAGTAGTCCGTACCCGTCACTGTCTTCTCAAATCCATGGAGACAAAAGGAGGGCTGATTAATCATTCTGACTGGCTACCTCCGTCATATCTTCTCCCCTGCCCCTCCCATTTCAAAAAGGCCCGTTTTATATTATTTAGGGTGGGGTGGGGAAAGGGGGGAAAAAAAATCGGCTTTCCAGGACTCGGTTTTGTTTCGTTTCCGATTACTGGAAAAGTCTTGTTTTGTTTTCCATCGGCTCTGGAATTCACAACCCCAACAACACATCAGACAGGGAAATTCCAAGCTTGCTTCGCTGCTACTTTTTATGACATTCGCTTCCAATGACAACGACGCACACGTCCACTCTTCTTTCAAAGACAATTAGCGCGCACTTCCGCTCGCTCACACACTACCCCCCCCCCCCCCCCCCCCCAGCAATGTGTGGCTCCTCAGCAAAAGCACACACGCCTGTGCCCATTCTACACTGGACTCTTTCACACCCAAAGTCCGACATTATTGATGCGTTGCAAAATGTTATTCTTGCAAAGAAACCTCACAATGAGTTATATAATAATGTATTCCACTCCCTTTCCCTGTCCCACACCCTCGTTGAGGCCCAGATTGAAAATACTAAACCTCGACAGACTGAAAGGAAACATAAAATAAAGCTCTCTCCATCCAGACAGACAGGCGATTAAACCCCCTCTCTCCTTACATTTCCTGTGTAATGTCCCCAGTGCCGGACTCACCACAATGGGTGTTACAGGAACTGAGCTAATTGTAAAGTCTTTACTGTCAGAACAAAAACACTTCTCAAACTGCAAATAATTTCAGACAGTCTGTGCTACCTAGTAGGTAAACATCGCTCACTCATTTACTCTCTCCTTCTCCTTCCGACACCCTCCCGCTGCCCCCCCACAAAGTAGCAATGAGCCAAAAGAACTGAAAGTTGCAGAGTCGAATCCTAGTCTGCCCCGGGTTAGCTAAACGCAGTGCGAGCAACAGGAGGAGTGTTTTGCCACATTGCTTCTTGTTTAGGTAGGAGGAAAAAGAAATCAGCTAAAGTTCTCCTACAGAGAGCCTCATTGGCAATAACAACAGCAGCAGCAGCATCAACAGATTACATTTGTATTGCACCTTTGATGTCGAGAAGACGTCCCTGGGATAGTCAGGGATTTGGGCAGTTGTGGGCATACATTGGCTAAGGATATCGACTGTGATTCTTTCTTCTACCTGCCACCTCCACGTTTCACACATGAATATTTAAAATACAGGCTCTGGCTGGAATAAAGCTGTAAATTAACCTTTTTTTTAAAAAAAAAGTCTAATTACGGAAGAATTGACAGTAGAAATGCCACAAATGGGATTTGCGTGCCAAACGCTGACTGACAACCTTTCCTGCTTCCAAAACCGCTGCAGTCTTTTCAAGAACTCCCTTACCTCTTTATCGTGAGCGATGAGCTGCGTCTTCACGTGTCCGGACACCAGATTGACTCGGCCCAAAACCTGTCCAGTCTCCAGCCCCCAGATTGTGCAGGTGGTGTCAATACTGGATGTACCTGCAGGAAAGGCGCAGGGGTTAAAGCGGTTTCTAGCGAGAGAAACATAACGATTCGTAAAAGAATTCACAGCAGCAGTGCTATACTAACTAGACTGTTGAGATCTCACACACAAAAGCAGCGATTAATTTTGTGTGTGTATATACATTATACATATATACCTCACCACACTGTTTACAGCCCTGCCATTAAAACCAGATCAAATGAAAAGCAGTCAATCAATACACCAGCCTATTTTACCCTGAATAAAGTTGGGATTTTGGAAGCCCAAAAGAGAGAGACAGAGAGAGTGAGAGATGCTCTGGGAACTTAAATCACAGCCTCAGATGAGATTATATAACACAAAAGCAGGTCTAAATTGAGAGACAGGTTAAGGAATCGGGTGGAGCATAAACAGGAGACTCAAACAACCAAAGTACATCTTCCCACTAGCCTTAAATGAGCATAGCCTGAAACCCATCTCGTACAGGGCCTCTTACTCAAGAGTCTGGAAGATACAGTTGGAACAGAAGGTACATTTCCTTCTCACCAGTCTTCACATGAGCGCACAACACACAAAATTGGTTTAATTCAGTGAATTCTAATCTGAGGGCTTGGATATCGGCTGCTATTCCTGAAACATTCTGTATTTGCAATAACGTTGACTCTTTAATGCAGATATATACTCTCGCTGGATTTGCACTGGTAATCCCAATGAGATCAGCAGTCTCTACATGGTTTACACAATGATAATCCGCCTCAAGGTCCAAAGGAGTGTGTTGTGGTTCGGGTGGGAGGGGGTGGGGGTTAAAAACACAGGGAATATAGCACCTGGCATTCGTCACAAACTTACATGTGCTTCAAAGCACTTTAAAAATAGATAATAATAATTTGGTCACTCAATCCACGACTGTTTGTGGGACACTGCTGTGCGTAATTGGCTGCCACAAGTACCATTTATTATCAGGATTGTGTGGGGATGGCTGATCTTCAGAGAGTTTGGTGCTGTGGTGCTGATACCGTACAACTCCTGAGTGATTCACTCACATTGGGTTAACAGTAACCCTTTGAGGCAGTCAACAAGGACAGAACAGTAACAAGACTAGATTGCTGGCAGTTGCTTCTGGGAGCTATTGGCTCGTCTGTTACAAGAGGTAGGAGGGTGAAACCCCCAACCCCTTCCCCCCCCCAAATAGCACCACTCCGACACACTAAGCCTTTGCTTGAACAAACCAACTTATCCATTTCTCATTGTTCATTCCTGCACAGTCATATTTGCTTTTCTTAAGCCGGTCAGTTTGCCATAAGCTAATAAACTAACACTCATACAAAGTGACTTCCCCCCTCCCCAGTGAGCCACTCTTTCCACGCTGCCAACGCAACTTGGCATCGTTACAAGTCTCAAACAGAAAATATTTGCATCCAGGTATCCTGGGGGAAGGGGGGGGGGGGGGGGGGGCGGGAGAGACAATTGAGGAATCATCTGCATGGAATAGGATCTGAATATTTGTTTCTGCAAATAACATGGTAATTAGCCCAGAGAGCCAGCGGCTGCCTGAGGCTGAGAGCTCCTCCTCACCCAAGAGATTTGGATCCACTTCGTTCCAGTCAAAGGAAGTAAGAGGGGCACAGAAGTCGGAGTTCTTGTTATTGTTCAGCAGGCACTCAAGCCGGGTTTCTGTATCGCTGACCTGCACCAGGACGCAAAGGAGTTTTGTTAGTAACGTGCAGAAAAATTGTTATCGCTCCCACTTTCCTTTCACGCCCGCTTTGTCCCCCCCTCGCCTACCAGAGAGACAAGCAGCGCCCGCCCGCTATCCGCTGATTAAGTGCCTCTCTTCACAGATGCTCCAGTCAGTTCAATCGAAACCAAATAAAGGAAAATAAATCCTTCAAACTTTCACATCAACAAATTGCAAATTTCTGAAGTCGGTCTCGTTACTGTCGGGAATAAAGGTCAGGCAGGCACGTGACTTCACACCCAGGTTAACAACAACAACTTGCATTTATATAGCGCCCCTCGCGCAGGGTAGCATCCCAGAGCGCGGTGCACGATGCCAAGTCGGGGGGAGGTGACCGAAAGCAGGGTCGAAGTATAATCGAGCAGTAAGAGGTTTTTGCCTGCAGCAGGTCCAGACGACAGGCCTTGGGATTGAAATCCGCTCCCCCAGTAGGTTTACACAATTTCCGATCCCAGACATCCTGCTCCAGTACAGGGCTGGAGCTGAGTAGCACTTTGTTCAGGTAAATTTAATTGCAATGCCTCAACAAGGCTTAGCCATTCACTGTCAGATTAAAGCATTCTGCAATCTGTTCTCAAGAACTAAACAGAAATATGTACTCTTGCTCCAGGAGAGGCAGGCTCTGTACCTTAAACAGCTAAATTAAGATGGGAATTCAAATTGTTCTTCTGGGAACATCGAAGACCTTTTAAGCTTAAACTCTCCCAAGTGGCCGCTGCTATGTACACAAATGCCACAACACGTCACTTGCTAACTCGCCGGGAAGAGAAAATGATGACTTGAATAGGAACAAAATATGAGTGACCCACTGGGTGAAAAATGTTTAAACTTTAAAGAACGAGGACTCCAATGACTTTATGGCTCATTTAAAAGCAATTTCCTCTCTTCTCGGGCTCCCTAATGGAGGCACACACAGCTGCTGCTGTCACAGTCTCTGATAGTACCCCTGGCGTCTCTGTAGATAATTGGGGGGTGGGAGAAATTTTCCTTTTCTCATTTATCAGTTGCTTATCTATGCGTGCAAGTACATACAATACACAGATGAGGGACTGATGAATAAGAAAAAGCCATTTGGCCTATTAAGTCCACTAGTGGACAGACAGTCAGCCAACAACCAACCCATTATAGACTTGACCTATGGGATCTCCTGGGAAAAAGGATTGTACAGACAAGAGACTCCCTGAAGCTTAAAAGTAATCAACCAAAACCTACGGAATATTCCCCTACATCAACTATTCAGCAGCGATCCCCTTCTCTCCATAGACATACGTTCCGCTCCAGTTCTGTTCCCCACTAGATGGTTCTCAGCTACAGCTTAATGCTGCTAATCAACACATCATCCAATGCTTTTCTTTCCACAGATCAATAGGTTAGAGTAACTTTCTTCCAACTGACAGCCAAATGTCAAAATGTAACATTGTACTTGATCAGGCTCATTGATAACAGCTTGATATTGATTAGAAACTCTCAGTGGAATGATCGATCAATAATCCCACGCCAATCCCTCAGCTCGGTCGACATTCGTCGCATGCGTTTTAACAGTTTGTTTGGTTAAATTAGGTATCCACTTACATGAATTAACCCTTCATATTTCCAAGGGGAATAGACAAGCACATCTTTGATGTGTGCGTGGTACGTGTGTAGGGGATGGGGGGGGGAAGAAAGAGGAGGAACTGGAAAATACGTAAAGTGCTCGCCGTACTTGGACACTCCTGGCTTTCAGCCACCGAAAAAAGGTCAACAACAACCATTCCCAATAGTCATTTCTGCTTACTGGAGACTAACCTCGACACTGGGGCTGTTATTCTTACCACCTGCTCCATTTTTCCAGAGGTCCCGGAACACTATTTAATTTTGCTTAAAAATATCCACACCGGGAGAAACAGTGACCAGACTGCCGAGAAGCAACAGGCAGACAGACGGGTGAATTCATCAGCGGCTCAAACATTAGTCTAAATTAGTGACAATCCCAAACACGTTTCAGAAGCTAAGCGCCTGCAGGCATTGTAAACGGTCATGGCGGTGAATCTGGGACATCTTGCACCAGAGACTCAGCGTTGCAATGAGGACAGACTGGTTTGTGAACATTGATCATGACTATTATCAGTATAAGCAAGCAACAACAACAACACAGCGCCCCTCACACAGGGTAGCGTCCCAGAGAGCTTGACAGTGGCGGAGCATGACGCCGAGCCACAGGAAGAGGGGGGGAGGTGACCGCATGCATGGTCAAAGAGGAAGGTTTCCAGACGAATACTTCAACCCACTGGACTCGGAGATCGAAGAATAAAGAGGCAAATAAGCAAATCCTCAGTGAAGCCGTTCCATTAGACTGAGCTCTTCCCATCACGAACTCACTTAAGACCTACTGCCGAAAATAAATGATCTGTTCTCGATTCAAGCTTTCCAACCTTGCAAAAAAAAGTGTGCATCAAGGATATGGGGCGAGAGCGGGTAATTGGAGTTGGGGTACAGATCAGTCGTGATCTCATAGAATGGCAGAACAGGCTCGAGGGGCTGAAATGGCCTATCTCTGTTTCTATGGGATTTGTGGTTCAAGCTTCGGCGACTTCGGACTATTTTAGTTCCTATCCCGGAGAATTCCTCTTTTCACGCGTGGCAATGAACAACCAGAATAGTCGAGACTTGCAAACATTCCTGGACATTCAGTACGGAATTCTGGATTTCCGACATTTGTGCTTTGATGCGGTTGGGCATTGAGAGGGTATCAGTTGAACAGACGTGAAATTATCCTTGGAGGTTCATTTACAGGTCTACTTCCTGCAAAGGGGGGAGGGGGTGGAAACAGTTAATTAAAGGAAAAATGTGTGAAAAACATCCCAAGGGAAAATAATATAAATCACTATCAACATCAGGCACTGTTTTGACGCAAATACTTGTGGGCGTGAATGAGGGGGGGGGGGGGGGGGTTGGGGGGGGGGAATTAACCACTTGTGGAAAAAAAAAGCCTTCTACAATCAAGTAAAAATTCCTTCACTGACAGAATTTCCATTCACATCGCCCGTTTACAGACAGAAAGAAAGAAATAACCCGAGACAGCAGAATCATAACGTACCGTAACGCTACCCCTACCCCCCCCTACCCCCCCACCACCCCCCTACCACCCCCCCCCCCTCACCCCCTCCCCTCCCTAAACCTTCAATGGTGTGTTTTCACGGTCTGCATTCTGCACCGAGCAATTAGTTTTCCGCACTCTCTGGACTTCCTTTGCTGTTATTGTCTCGCGGATCATTCGGTTTTGCAAACCCCAGTCACCAGTCAGATTTAATCACCACACACACACACACACACACACACACCTCGTGAGTGTGCGATCTGTACCCCCTCTCTATGCCACTACCACTGCCCCCTCTTCTCGTGCCGTTCCCAGGGCCCTGACGCCGCTCACTCCCCCCCATCACTCCCGCGGTCTCTCACTCCCTCCCCCCCCCCAACCCTTTTCCACCCCTCCTCACAACTGCTGCCAGTCTCCGGGCCCCCCCGGTGCCAGTCTCCACCCCCCCCGGTGCCAGTCTCTGCCCCCCCCCCGGTGCCAGTCTCCCCCCCCCGGTGCCAGTCTCCCCCCCCGTGCCAGTCTCCGGATCCCCGGTGCCAGTCTCCGCCCCCCCCCGGTGCCAGTCTCTCTCCCTCCCTCACACCAGAGAGGCTGGAAAGCCCCCCCTCCCATACCTTTTTTTCCCGCCCCCCCCCCCAGGCCCCAGGCCCCGGGCCCCGGCTCACCCTCCAGACGCGCAGGTAGTCCCCGGAGGTGGCGAGCAGGTCCGGGTAGACGCCCTTGGTGTCGGGGATCCACATGATCTTGGTGGTGGGGTACGGGTGGTCGAAGGTGTTCCGGGAGATGAACTCGGAGCTCTCCTCGTCCAGGCCCACCAGCTGCACCTTGTTGTTGTACTCCTCCACGAAGCTGCCGAGGGCCAGGCGGAACCGCTTGTCGGGCCTCACGCTCCAGTTCATGGCGTAGACCGTCCATGGCGCCTCGTACTTGTAGATCTCCTTCCTCTTGCCGTGCATGCTCATGTTTGAGGGGAGGACGGGGGGGGAGGGAGGGAGGGAAGGCCGTGGGTGTGTGGGTGGGTGTGTGTGTGTGTGTGTGGGTGTGTGAGGCGACCCCCCCGCCACCACCACCTCAAAGCCGGCGGCTCGAGCTCGAGCGGACAACAATACCCGCCGCTCGAAGCGCCAACCGGAAACCGGCCGCCCGCCCGCCGACTGAGCGACAGGGACGGCTCGGCCAATCGGGCCGCGGCCGGCCGCGGATGGACGGCGCCCGCAGCCAATGGCGGGCCGCGCTTTGGGAGGGAAGGGGGCGGGATGATGGCGCGCCACCCACCCCGTCCAATGGGAAGTGACGTATTCTCCCCTCCCCTTCCTCCGAGAGGGCGGGACTCCTGCCAACTGCTCGCTCCCAACTGACAAGCGAGAACGGGCGGAGTGAGGAGGCGGGGCTGCTGCCGATGACGGTGATGATCGACAGATCCCTCGGCCAATCGGCGAGGAGAGGCCTGGGAAAGGGTGGGCGGGAGCTTAGCGACCTGGGAGCCCGGTGATTGACAGCTGTTTGCATCTAATAATAATAATAATAATAATCCTCGCATTTGATATAGCGCTTTTCACGTCGGGAGGACGTCCCAAAGCGCTTCACAGAACACACTGTAAAGTGAATTGACTGTATATATTTGTGGGCGAACGCGGCGGCCAATTGCGCACAGCAATGTCCCACAAAGTGTCGTAGATTGAAAATGACCAATTTATTATTGTTTTTGGTTTTGGAGGAATTATTATTAGGGCTCTGTGTGGAGTAAGGAAACTTACAATCGTTAGGTATTTAACTGTGTTCACATAACATAACATGTAGGAGCAGGAGGAGGCCATTCGGCCCTTCGAGCCTCTGCCCCGCCATTCAATCATGGCTGATCTTCTAATCTAACTCCAGCTAATAATCTAACCCTGCCTTATCCCCATATCCCTTAATCCCTTTTGCAATAAGAAATTATCTGTCTTGAATATGTTCAAAGACTGAACGTCAACAGCCCTTTGGGGTAGCGAGTTCCATACATTCACTGCCCTTTGAGTGAAGAAGTTCAGTGCGAAAGGGCTGCCTCTGATTTTAAGGTTGTGACCCCTGGTTTTAGCTTCTCCAACCAGGGGAAACCATCTCCTACTATCTACTGTATCATACCCTTTGATGATCTTATAGGCTTCTATAAGATCCCCTCTAATTCTTCTCTATTCTAGAGAATATAGGCCCAAATTGGTCAGCCTATCCTCGTAACTCAACCCTTTCATCCCTGGTACTAACCGAGAAAATCTACGCTGCACCCCCTCCAAGTACATCCTTCCTTAAATAAGGAGACCAAAACTGCACACAGTATTCCAGGTGTGGTCTCACCAGGGCCCTATACTACTACTAATAATAATAATTCTTGCGTTCGATACAGGGTTTCCATCACGTGGTCACGAAGTCTCAGAGCGCTTCACAGACCAGGCTGTAAAGTGGATCGACTAGTATATTTTGGTGGGTGAAACGCGCAGCCAATTGCGCACAGCGCGGCGTCCCACACGAACGGGCGTGGATCGAGTATAGAAAATTTACATCGTGTTTTGAGTTGGTCAGATTCCCAAGGAGCTGAAGGTACACATACATTATTATTTGTTTTATAATTAAATGTTGCATTTGATGCAGCACCTGCAAGGGCATTAAACAGGGAACGTCTCTCAAGCCATTTGTAGCGCAGCAGCCCTTTTTCCCACAGCATTATATTCTACAAACCATCATGAAGTGAATGACCAGCTGGTTCAGAGAAATGTTTGCCAAGATACTGGAGGAAAGTATTTTTCAAATAGCATCACTGTTTTTTTTATCTACTTGAACAGGCAGATGAGAACTCTGACAAAGCCCCAATTTAAGGGAAAAATTGTTTTATTTGTACTATAATATGTACTATTCCCCAAGTCAGCTTTCATCTGATGTTCTTACATAATTTGAGATGTCAACCATGTACGTGAAATATTATAACTTTATCTACCAACCACAATGATCACACACAGGGAGGGTGGAGGTGTTCAGGTTATATTTTACAGTTGGTTTCGAGCAGTGCATTTCTGAAGATCCAGGAATCGCTCAAATGATCACAGTTCATGATTTTATGATTTGGCTGAGATGGGGGGCAGCAATAAAATGTATTGACACAGCTCACTTAATCCCAACCAGACCTTTTGGTTGGTGAATGACTTCTGCCAGTTTCATCCGAGTTCGGCAGACTTACTTGCATGGTATACATCCTCTCCGATAGCAGATAATTCTCCACAAAGTCCAGCTAGCCCGCCAGGCTCTCTCTCTCTCTCTCTCTGTGTCTCTGTCCCACAGCGATGTCAGCTCTGTGACTCAATGTTGTCGTACACTCTAACCACAGAGTTATTGCTGTTCAGCACTTGAATTAACTTAAACGCTGTTTCCAGATCAGCGTCAGCCAGCTGGACAATCCTAGTAGCGATGAATTCGGGACCGGCAGAGAGCGTCAGCAGTCCCATCGCACTCAACCTCTCCCGCACCTCCCGCAGAGAGGCTAGATCAGAGATGAACTGGGAAAGAATTTGACAAAGAACTTTAGACAGTATATGTTGCACTTAAATCGAGGGGTTTATTTCAAGCGATTGCAAACATGCATGTGCCCCGATTGTGGGATGTTTTATGGTGCAGATGAGCTGCCATGTTTGCCTGCATAACAAGTCACTATTCTTCAAACAAACAAACAACTTAACTTGCATATATATATATTATACGGCTGATCTAATCAACCGCCTTTGCCCCATATCATTGATACCCTATGTCGCTCTGTGAAGCGTTTTGAGAACAAGGGAGTGAGTGAGCGCATTCCTGATGTCACCCCCGACATATCCTCTCTATCCGCAATATTGCTGATGGATGGGCTTGAAACCAGGATTATCCCATCGCCCACCTTGGGAACTATACAGAGCTGAGGATGGCTACTCACCTTAAGGATCACCTTGTCCTCTTCATCCACAGAATGCTGAATGTCTTCTGCCCCAGCTTCGATTGCCAACTCGAGAGCCTGCTCCAGCTCAATCTCACAGTTGTCCTTATCCAGACCGTTGACAGTCACCACTCCTTTCCTCTCGAAGCAATGCCGTGCTCCGTCACTCAGCAACCCCCTGACAACAAAATAACCAACAAGTAAAACCCACCAGAAAACAGGCAGATTTCAGGCTTGTAGAGCTTGTCATGACGTTCACATTTGTTGTTCACTAGGTATAGAGAGGGAGGGATTAGGGCACCAGCTTGTCTCAGCTGGTAACACTCTCGCCTCAGGATCAGAAGCTTGTGAGTTCAGTAACACATCCAGACTTCACATCAGAATCTAGGATGACATTTCAGAGTAATGTGGGGTGGGGGGGGAGAGGGGAGAAGCCCTGCATTGTCAGAGGTGCCATCCTTTGGATGAGATGCTACGAGGACCTGCCTGCCGGTTTCTGTGAACGTTAAAAATGCCCAAGACCCCACTCGAAAAGAGAAAAAAGGAGTTTCTTCCAATATCCTGGCCAAAAAGTCCCCCAGGTAAATTGGTCAGTCTCTTAACGGCTGTACGCAGGATCCTGCTGTGTGCAAACTGGCTGCCAGGTTTGGCAACAAATAGTCACAGCACATGATAGCTATTACCTGTGAAGGACTTTTGTGACATTTGGACTTTATAATCAGAAGCAAAGTTCCTCAGCGCTCACTGCTCCACTATCCCGCAAGTTATTGTTGTATCATTCATTTTGTGCCCCCACTGATGCGTACCCATTTTTATTCATGATGCTCTTTAGTTCCTGATGGGACCGGGTGTTGTTGTCTGTGAGAAGTTCAATGAGTAAAAATGATCCTCCGGGGCCTCTGGCTTCATACAGGCAATAAGATGTGGCTTTTCCTTTCTCCTGTAAAAGCAGATACGGCATAGGGTCAACGTAGGGGCAGCATTTCCAATTAAATGCACGACAGTGGAGACATCTGACCCAGAATCACAAAGCGCCCAGGGACTGGGGAAGGTCTACAAGCCTGAGAGCAGGATTACCACAAACTCTCTCCGCTCCAGGAGGTACGTGACTCAGGCAGACCTCCGAGGGGAAAGGATACAAAACATGTAGTCGTATGGCAAAAATGCATCAAGCGGTGCGCTGCACTTTAATCCACCGTCATGTGCAAATCTGCCAAACCATCACCCACGCCCCACCAACAATTCCACACACTTTGCAGAGATCAAGGAAGTTCCCACACTTACTGCGCCTTTGATGGCAGCTTCGATGGACATTTTGGGCATGTTCTTAGCTCGGCACTGCTCTATGAGGTTTGCCAGCTGAGTGTTACCTTCGGGGTTGGAGCCTCCCTCTGCAGAAAGAAAAGTAGGAGCGAGAACAATCAGCTGATAAGACTGCTCGCTAGGTACCGATCAGCAGCATGAACCATGACTAATTTTTACCTGGGATATTAAAACATCTTCAAGTGCTTTTGCAGTACACAAAATATACGTTTCCCCCCCCCCCCCCACCCACCCCTCCCGGCAAAACATACAGTCAATTCACTTTACAGTCTATTCTGTGAAGCGCTTTGAGACGTCTCGAAGACGTGATGAGGCGCCGTATCAAACGCAAGGATTATTATTATTACAGTAACTGTCAAACACAGCGTATTTTTACAGGCAAAGACTGAAATGGAGCCCCCCCCCCCCCCCACCCCACCCCACCACACAAACTCCCCCCATCTCCCTGCGGTACCTTTCACGGCGTATCTGATCATAGCTGCAAACTTGGCAAACATTGTACTCTTTTCCGCATCTTTTGGTCCTTTAATGTGCTTGACTTTCGACCACTTGTTGTGACCTGCCCAGCGAGCCGCGGACGTGTGGACGCCGGCGCCCTGCGGGCAGCGAGGGGGGAGCCGGGCCCCGGCCGGGAGAGCCGGGCCGTTCGCCGACGCTGGCACCGCGGCTCCGGGCCAGCCCGTCAGCTCCGCGCGACTCCGCAACCAGGGCAGGAGGCGGCTCCTGTTCCACGAGCCAGCGCTTCGGACTGCCCCGGCGACAGCCATCCCGCAACCTGGAGAGAGAAGGAAGGAGGGCCCAGGGTGGAGGGGAGTGAGGGGGGGGGCGGTGGGGGGGGGGGGGAGAGGGCAGGGGAGGAAGGGGGAATAACCCGTAAAGTAGGTACAGTGAGCGTCTGTAGAGCAACAGAACGAGGAGGAAACTCTCGACGCTTAGACCAACCGACAACTTGCGTCCACACGGCGCCCCCTCCTCCCGCGGTGGGGGGGTCCCAGGACCGCGGCGGAGCACGACACCCAGCGCGGGGGGGGGGGGGGAATGGGGGGGAGGGGGGGGGGTGTGACCATAGGCACGGGGTCGAACAGGATGGTCTTCAGGCGCGACCTGAAGATAGGGAGGGAGAGAGGGAGGAAAGACCCTCTCCCCTCCCACTACTTCTCCCCACCGCCTCCCTCCCTCCTCTCCCTTCTCCCCCCTTCCCCCTCCCTCCCCTCTCTCCTTTCTCCCCCTCAACTCCCTCTCTCCCCCTTCTCCCCCCCTCTCCCTCTCTCCCCCCCTCCCCCCCTCCCTCTCTCCCCCCCTCCCCCCTTCTCTCCCCTCTCTCCCCCCTCTCTCCTCCCCCCTCTCCCCCCTCCCCCTTCTCTCCCCTCTCTCCTCCCTCCCCCCCCTCCCCCCTTCTCTCTCCCTCTCTCCCCCTCTCTCTCCCTCTCTCCCCCCTCTCTCCTCCCTCCCCCCCTCTCCCTTCTCCCCCCTCCCCCTTCTCTCTCCCCCTTCTCTCCCCTCTCTCCTCCCTCCCCCCCTTCTCTCCCCCCCTCCCCCTTCTCTCTCCCCCCTCTCCCCCTCTCTCCCCCCCTCTCTCCTCCCTCCCCCCTCTCCCTGGTTGCTCTCCCCCTCCCCCCCCCCCCACTCCTTTACCCCCCACTCACCTGCAGCTCCGTCCGCCCGCCCACCCACACCGTTTCCGGTTGAGCCGTGACCGCCTTCCGGTCCCGCCGTAGACCCGCCCCCCCCGGGGCTCCCTCCCTGCGCGTGCGCACAGGGCATCAGCCTGGACCACACCACAGAGAGATGATAATAATAATAATAATAATAATAATAATCTTTGCATTTGATATAGCGCTTTTCACGTCGGGAGGACGTCCCAAAGCGCTTCACAGAACACACTGTAGAGTGAATTGACTGTATATTTGTGGGCGGACGCGGCAGCCAATTGCGCACAGCAATGTCCCACAAACAGTCGTAGATTGAAAATGACCAATTTATTTTTGTTTTTTTTGGAGGGATCATTATTAGGCTCTGTGTGGAGTAAGGAAACTTGCCCGAGGTTTCGCCCTCTGCCTGGAATTGAACTCAGGTCTCTCACTTGCAAAGCGAGTGCTCTAACCACTGAGCTACAGGACTCCAAAGAGATAGACAGAGAGAGGGAGAGATACCGAGAGGGATGGATGGAGGGAGGGAGAGAGAGAGAGAGATAGATAGATATAGAGAGAGAGTGTTAAAGGAAAGTTAAAGGGAGAATGAAGAAAAAGAGAGTTAAAGGGAGAATAATAATAATAATAATAATAATCCTTGCATTTGATACAATAATGTATCAATAATGTATTCTTGCTCTCGGGACAGCTACAGAGCTATCGTTTTGTTTGACGCTTGCAATATTTCTGCTCAGGCTTTTGTTTCAATACTAAGTGTGGGATAAAGCTCAGCGGGGAAGAAAGGGGGGGATGATCAGTGGGAGTTACTGAACCAAACCATTGTGGAGTCCTGTAGCTCAGTGGTTAGAGCATTCGCTTTGCGAGTGAGACCTGAGTTCAATTCCAGGCAGAGGGCGAAACCTCGGGCAAGTTTCCTTACTCCACACAGAGCCTAATAATAATCCCTCCAAAACCAAAAATAATAATAAATTGGTCATTTTCAATCTATGACTGTTTGTGGGACATTGCTGTGCGCAATTGGCTGCCGCGTTCGCCCACAAATATATACAGTCAATTCACTTTACAGTGTGTTCTGTGAAGCGCGTTGGGACGTCCTCCCGACGTGAAAAGCGCTATATCAAATGCGAGGATTATTATTATTATTAGGTGTGTGATGAGCGAGAGAAGTTTAATTCGCGTCAGATGCTGGCTTGATCTCAGCTCCTCCGAATGAGATTAGTTCAAATCGCTCCCACTTTACCTTATAGCTTCAGTAATTCCTCCTATTTAAGCAAAAACGTTGTGAAAGTAAACCATTGCCACGGGAAAAATACACTTCGTTTCAAGGGTACCGTTTTTTTTTATTATGCCGATTTTTTAAGCAATAAAGAGAAGCAACGGAGAATTAAAAACAGGCAATCCTACGCATTAGCAATTTAAGAATGTATTTCGCAAAGCAGGTTCTGCGTAAAGCTATATGCAGAGCCATTCTATCTCCTTCCCCCCCCCTACCACCACCATAATTATTGTTGGTCCTGCAGCAAATAATTCTGATGATCCACCGCAAAGGCAGGCAGCCAGACAGACTTGCCTGCATCAGTGAAACTATCGCGCACTACTCATTACATTAGATATGGACATACTTTAATCCTCTTCTTTTCCACAAATATATAGTCAATTCACTTTACAGTGTGTTCTGTGAAGGGCTTCGGGACGTCCTCCCGACGTGAAAAGCGCTATATCAAATGCGAGGATTATTATTATCATTATTATTAGCTGAACGGAAGCCAATACTTTTTTGTGAAACTTGGCATTTCAGTTGCAAAAGATAATCCCCGTCTACGCATTTCACCCGACCTTTTTTTTTCCAAAAGCTTTGCATTCATTATTGACGTAACTCAAAAGTGTTTACTTTTTCTCTTTTGGTAATCCCCCCCACGCCCTCCGCAATCGCAAAATAAAAGATTGGTTTATCACCAGAGCAGCAGAAATTAAGTTTTCTCTCTCTCTCCCCCGTGTTCCCCCCCACCCAGTAGTAATTATTCTGATCCCAATTGCTCAATGGGTAACTGCATGGTGGGGGAACAGGCAATAAAATCACAAGGGTCCCAGGTTTAATTCCCAATTTGTGTTGGATTTCAATAGGGACAGCAAATAAATGCAGCGTTTAAATCTCTATGCAGTACTCCCTACTGGAAGCGCACGTGTAGACATCAAACCACACAGAATTGGGTCCAACCGCAACGCACAGCCCTCGCATTCAAACTGCGTGTTAATCAAAAAGGTTCGACTTGCTTTGAGATTTAAGCGAATTGTCTTTTTTTTCCTTCTTCCTTTCGCAAGTGATGGGAAAAATGGAATTACTCCTTAATATTTTCTCAGAAGTCGTGGTCGTTTTTTTTATTTCACACACACACACACACACACAGGGGAGAGGGACAAAATTGAACACTCGTGGACAGAATACTAAACCTTATTCGGGTCAAGTCGATCTGCCGAGCTTTTAAAAGCATTAATTCTTAGGCATAAACTTAAAAGTGAGCAATACAGGCTGCACCTCGAATAGCTTTTGCATCATTTTGACCCATATTTTCTTTAAAAAAAGGTCAATTTTTGATCCTTTTTACTTGTTTTTATTAATAAAGTTACACACACACACACCTCATCAATTTTCCTAGATTTTTGGGGGTATCTTTTTTTATCAGTGCTTCTCTGCAATATTCTCTGCAGAAGTTAATTTCGATGCAATTTATGACTCCCAGTGCCAAAGTGACGTTCCCCTAAACACAGAACCTTACACTCCCCCCCACCCCCCCCCCCCACACACACACAAGAAAACAGTAAGTAATACATGACAACCATCTTTATTAAGCCAAGTGTGGACTTGAAAATATACAAAGCATGGGTGCAAGGGATGCAACCATCAGGCCAGGGAGAGTAATGCATTGCTTTAAGTGTACGTTATAAATATTTACTCAATGCCATTATCCAAACGTCAATGATAAAAGGACAATTCATTTGGAATCCTGCATCTCTGGATGGGAAACCAGATTTGACGTTTTGTTTGGAACGATGCTGCTGAAATATAAGCATCCAGAAAGCAAAAAGGTACAATACAGTCGCCCAGGTATCTTACCTCCCGCCCCCCTCCCCCCCACCCACCCCCCACCCCGCTTTCCCCCTCCCCATGCAAATAATTCCTAAAAGACATTCAACCAAAATGTTTCTTACAATGTTGTATTGATACTACCCACCTCCCTCCCTCCCTCCCAAACCTTAAAAATGCCTCACTTTCTTTTAATATTTTTAATAATAATAATAATCCCGGCGTTTGACACAGCGCCTTATCACGTCTTCGAGACGTCTCAAAGAGCTTCACAGCATATACCTGTGAAGCGAATTGACTGTATATGGTGTGGGTGATAATTTTTGGGTATTTAACAGATGGGAATCTGCAAGAATGCTACCCTGTTGCAACAACGGTGGAATGGACAAAAGCAGGCAGTTTTAAGCAAGCCGAAGGATACCTCCCCATTCCCGACAGACTCGTATAACTGTACTCGACATTCATTCACATCACTTTAAATGGGAGTTGTCCATCTAAAGATGTTTCGAGGGAGCAGAAACTAACAATGTGCTTGGTTGTGAACTTGTGGGAAATGTCTATGTCTCCTCCTTCCTGTCGGAGTCATGACTTCCTTCACTGAAATGAGGTAAATAGGAATTGGAGTGGTTTTAAAACCACAGGACAAACAGAAAGCTGGATCGAGTTAGAGAGAGAGAGAGCGTTCAGCGCTAAAGAGACTCAAAAGTTTGTTCCGATTTTTTTTTTTTGCCGCACAGAATCAGTCGTGAAGCAACGAGTCAGTGGTCAGAATGTGGACGTAATCCTATTACGTACATTACTGTACAGTGTGGTTTAAACTAACGATATGAAATCTATCACTAACTGATCAGTCTAACTTTGGGCATTGTTCCACATGTTTACCAAAGTAATGATTTAAAAAACAAAAGGCTTCACAAGCTTAAATACAAAATACTTTTGGCCAGGCAAAACAAGACTAGTTTCCTTCAGATTTGTTTTAAATCTACTGTACAATACACACAAAGGCCAATACTTATTCTAAAGCTTCCCCTAGCATCCTTAACCCCTCGCCAAACGGACAACAGCTCAATCAAGCACATTTAAACAGAAAGGATGCGATCGGCCTGGAAATACACCTGTACAATTTCACTTAAAAGATTTAAATTCCTCCCTTCAGCCCATCCCCTTTAACCGGTTTCTCCAGCTCGGGAACCTTTCTCTGGGTGCGAGACCCCTCTCTCAGCAACGGACTGCTAAAGTGGTGCCCAAAGAGAACCAGTCCGGAGTAACCTCCCTAATTGTCCTCCGATAAACTGCCTGGTAAAGTTCATGTGACAAGCTTCCTTCCGCACGACAGAGATAATAGCACCCAATCCTGTCTCCAGGGTCTGCACAGAATGCAGTTTCCCAAATCCATTCCCACAGATTGTTGGTGCGTTTCCAAAGTACTTATTTACCCAAAGGGACATCGACAACAACTTACTGTTGAGCAGAAAATAAAATCCACTGCGCCCAGTTACCCGAACTTCACCAGTCAGTCCTGCTCCTGCGATCAGAAGGACTGACGTCACAGAGCTAATGTCGCTGTGATAGTCGAGGGGGGGGGAAAACAAGAGAAGGGAAAGAGTACAAGAAGAGGCCACGGAATGGCTCGACAGCAAATCACATCACCAATATGAAGTTTGCTGAGTGTCGCATTTACAAAGCACCGTCCTTATCTTCTATCTACAATGTGGCAGTCAATGCTTCCCCTCCCACCCCCCCACCCCTTTCCCACTCACAATCATTTAGTAACTTTTAACGGGTGCCTGTAACTAACATCATATAGTTGTGTAATAACCCCACATGTACACTGAAACTGCCGTGAGTTTCTTGAAAGCCTGGATTTTACGAGAGGTCTTGGATCTTTCTCTCTCTTTCTCTCCGCCTCCCCCCCCCTCCCAATCCACTCGTAAGTTAACCCTAGCAGCCGGTAACTGCCAGTACGCAGTACGTGCTCTTATTGTTCCAACTAGGAATTCAAAGCGGGAGTTATCACTCCAAAGAATATTGAACGGTGCGGAGAGGGTAGTTTGCGTAACTCTCCATGGAACATCTGGAAGTGGTTGGAACTCGTTTTATAAGCCTATTGATATTACGTACGGCTCTGCTGAGCAGCGCAGTACATCATTTGGGGAACAATAAACTAAGCAGTGTGGTGGGTTTACGTGTATGGTCCAAACGTTTCCGTTACCTCACTGAAGCTTGAGGGACTATATAGTTCAAAACAAAGTGATTGGTTTCATTTTAATATGATTATAAAACAAAGGTTCGACAGGCTTGCTTCACGTCCTGTGATAACGGCTGCTTTTTTTCCAACAAAACATACAAGTACATGAGGACAAGAGGTATTCAACTGAAACATGAAAGGTTCCCCCCCCCCCCCCCCGACCCCTCTAAATAGGTTAAACACAATAGGGAAACGAGGGCTTATTTCTTATTTTTTTTGCTTGAATTATACCCAATGACACTGAACAAAAGGTTGCAGGTTAGCCAAACTGGAAGAAAAAGTTGCCGGGACCAGAAGCTGAAAAACAAAAGAGTCAAATGTTACAACAGCAACAACAAACCTATTTATCCAGCGCTTCTCATGTAAAGCAAACACATCAAACCACTTTTGCAGAATGAGATTCTTTGGCAATTGATGCGCATGTAACAGAAGAGGGAATAGAGATGTACAGGAGAGGAGATGAGGAGAGGTGGAGGCTTGTGTGAAGCATAAACACTGGCACAGACCAGTTGAGCCAAATGGCCTGTTTCATGGGAACAGGAGGAGGCCATTCAGTCCCTCGAGCCTGTTCCGCCATTCTATGAGCTCATGGCTGATCTGTACCTCAACTCCAATTACCCGCCCTTGCCTCAATTCCCTTGATAGCCCTTCCTGTGCTGTATCACGCTGTGTAAATGAAGTGAATGCTATTATACAGGCAATCACAGCAGCTGTTAATACCAACAGCCACTTGTAAACTTGTACAAGTGGGTTCTGCACAATTTCTGCTTGCGATAAGAGACAATTTTACCAACAACTGATTTATTCTCCCTGCTGAGCTTTTTCCCACCCTCCTCCTCTCCTAATGCCTTTAAGGCTCATTTCCCTACTCTTCGGGTACAATTCCACAGGTGCCCCTCCCTGCATGTCGCTGTGTGGGGTTCGACAGGGAAATGTCAGCAGGGTATTTGACAGGTATCACAGCTGAGCCAAATCCTGCCCACATGACCTTCGGGGGAAGCTAGAAAATATCCGTACTTGTCCCATTACATAGCGAAAAGCGTTTTACAAATGTAATTTTGTATTGTGTTGAAAAGAAAAGCTTTGTTCGCTAAATTGCACGCTTCAGATTACCAATCAAAAATTTGTTTAAAAGCATTTCCATTCACTTCCACCTACCTTCGAAACTGAAGCTACCCGGACTACCAAAAAATGCCTTGAAAATATTATTAGCATCAAAATCTGCAAGGAGAAAGAAAACAAGGTTATTAAAGAGTTTTGAAAGAGAAATCGTGACCAGCCTCACACTCTTTACCCAGCGCAGCAAAGATACTGACGTACACCGAGAGAAACACTTACCACCAAAATTCATGCCATCATCTTCCAAATCTTGACCGCTATCGTAGCGTGCCTTCTTCTTCTGATCTGACAGGATGCTGAAAGCTTCTCCGACCTCTTTAAATTTCTTCTCCTCTTCTTTCTGCATCTCTGGACTGGAGCTACTGTGACGATCTATGCACGGGGGGGAGATGGGTTAACAGTCTGGGAGCTTATCAGGATATTGAAAGGCAGACTTGCTGTTTATTTCCCCACTTTAAGCAGAAGCTGCTAAACACACCTACCAACCAACAGTGCACGTACAAGCGGCTGTGTACTGCAGTAGTTAACTTCAACACTGAAGTGGTTAGTCCTATAGTGTCTGACAGTTGAATATGTCTATAAAATACTTATGTATTTATTATGTGGTCTGCAGCGTATTGGTTAGAGCACTCGCCTCGCAAGCAAGAGGACCTGGGTTCGATTCCCGGGCAGGACGAAACACTAGGCAAGTTTGCTTGCTCCACACGCCTCTGTTTACCTAGCATCAAATAGGAACCCGGTTGTTAGTCGATCGGCGGATCGCTTTTCCGAGGGAAACAATCCCTTCAATAAAATAATAATTCGGTCACTCAATCCACATGTTTGAGGGGACGCTGCTGTGCGCAACTGGCTGCCGAGTATCAACCCCAAAATATACAGTCAATTCACTTTCCTGTGAAGCGTTTTGAGATGTCTCGAAGACGTGATAAGGCGCTATATCAAATGCAAGCATAATTATTTGGTTACAGTAAGCTGCTGGCAGGAGAATAAACAGAGACTGCTGTACCCATGAGCCAACGGTGCCTTGTCTGTACCTGGATGATGCATCAGTGCCCTCTTCCTATAAGCTTTTTTAATCTCATCCTCTGAGGCATTTTTGTCCACGCCGAGAACTTTGTAATAATCTTTTCGTTTGCTCTTCTTCAGCTCCAACTGCGCATTCTTAAGCAGCTGTTTGTGTTCTAGTAACGGAAAGAAAGAAAGCAAGGCAGAAATAAAGACTGATATACTCACTGAACAAGACTGCCAAATAGCTCATCAACTCATTTACCCAAAAAGCATGCAGTGGAACTTCATTGAAGCCAGTGACCGGACATGATATTATTAGCAACATAGGGTAACAGGAACCCAGCGAGTAGATTGCACCCAACACACAAAAACACAAGTCACTCCACTTTGCAGCAGATCCGTGAAGCGCTTTTGAGACGTCTTCCCAATGTGAAAGACGCTAGACCAAATGTAAGGATTATTATTACGTCTTCGCAGAATTTTTTTTATCCCAATGCCCTGTCCTTTCACCATATCTAATATAATACTATTTGTAGTATTATATAGGATATGACAGACAATAATACAATAGGCTAAAAATATGCAATACTGGTTTACTGCTAAAACATTTATTCGAGTTGGTGGATTTTTGAAACATGACACATTAAGACAGTCTTATCCATTGAAAGCTCTTTTTTCACCTTTTGTTTTTTCCGCCTGGTAAATTTTTTCATAATCCCTTGCGGCTTCCTCGTACTGTTCTGTATCCATATAACTGTGGGACAGAGAGGGGAAAAGTAATTACTACTTCTCAACTAAGTCATCCTGCTGCCCATCAGGGCCATGTGTGGGCCAAGGGTTTCCATAAAGAATCCATTCTTTACACTGCAAGGCATTGCAATGCTAGCCAAAGACAGGCACAGACTTGGCACTGTATCTCCTAGGAATTGGCTGCCATGTTTCCCCCACAAAATATTCAGTCAATTTACTTCACAGTATATCCCGTGACCCGCTTTGAGATGTCTTAAAGACGTATGAGGCGCTATATCAAAGACAAGGATTATTATCATATACTAAAAAGAACAGTACAGAGCAGAAGGCTACAAAGTGTTTTCCACTAGTTGTTGGCTTTATCTCCCTTCTCATGTTAAAGGATTGCATTGTCATACACAGCCACAGCCAAATGTTGATCCCATGAAGTAAAGTCCATGTTTTTTTTTAGAAAGCCTAAATAAAAGGCGGTATAAAGACTGAATGATGTAATGGGTTAGTAAATAGCATCCTTTCACCTCTGGAGCTGCCTTTGAAGTTAGTCAGCCTGGTAGGTCCTTGAATGATCCCATCTGAATTAAGTCTCAACTTAGTAGATGTGAACACGCACTCAAATGGCCCTATATGCCAATATTCTCAAAGTACAATACAATAGGCTAAAAATAACATCACTCCCAACAGTGAGTCACTAACTATAACCATAAGAACACAAGAATTTGTTGGCGAAAGAGGAACAAGGTCCATCTACTTCCCTTCCACCATCCTGGCAGTCGCTTGACATATCGACAGACTATATACTGTATCCTCAGATATTATTTTCTAGCAGAAATCTATCTAATTAGTTCTTGAAACAAACGTCACTTTCTCCTTCCACTGTCTCTCAAGGGAGCCTGCTCCAAAAGTTTACTACTCGCTCCCTGAAGTAGTGTTTACTGAGATTTGTTCAGAATTTATCCCCCCCACCCTTCAATCGCACGCCGTATCCTCTGGTGCTACTGTTCAGTACGTGATGAAACAGCTTACCAATGGTCTACATTATCCAAACCCTTCAAAATCTTAAATCTATAACCCAGCATTACTCACCACTGTGCTCGCCTCATGTACGCTTTGATATACGTCTCATCGAGTTTTATTGCATTCGTGCAGTCCTCTATTGCTTGTGGCATCTTATTAAGCTGGAAAATAGTTGCCGACATTACTGGCGTGGTCATCGAATAATTAGCTCCGAGAAACCTTTTCTCCCAATATTTGACTTGCCACCGCGTGAAGCTCCCCGATGGCAAGCTGTAATAACGTTAGCACGACTGAAGATGATTACTGCACTTCTATCTTCTCTGAACCGTGTGCATTCGACATTCACTCCCACGTTTTATATTAAAGGTCTAATTTGAAATGGTTTTAATTTAAAACAGATTTCTGACATCAGAAACGTGCAACCCTCATATTTGTAAGACACCAATAACTCCATCAGTAACTTATTATTAAATCGGTTCAAATCACCACAAATCAGACCCCCCCCTTCCCCCCCCACACCAACCCTATGTTTTCTGAAAATCATATTGAAATCTAAAATGATCAACAGTCACAAATTTCCGATGACTTGCCTTGGATCCAACCGTTCCACGATTACAGTACAATTTTGCGTTGGTTTTAATGTTATTCTGGTCTATTTTCAGGGCCTCTGTATAAAGTCCGTATGCCTTATCGAAGGAACCTTCTTTAAACGCGCTGTTGCCCTCTTCCTTTTTGGCTCGCAAAGCTTTGGCATTCTAATTGCAGGGAGACAAAACACACAAGCTATTATCCAGGACCGTGAAACTCCAGCCAGAAAGCAATACGATTCGGGGGCCGCTCAATTAAGCCCGAGAAATTTTCCTTCACATCGAAACCACCATTGTGTACAATTGAGGCAAGACTTTGCTGAAACGTAATCTGTGTAAAAAAAAAAGCATCGCCTCCTTTGTTGGGTTGAGTCTCCAAGTGCAATTCTCCAGCTTTGCTAAGTGCTTCCTGGGAAACATTCCAAGGTGACGAGACCTCTCCTCTCTCTCTCGCTCCAGTGTGGAAGAACTGCCCACTGTGCAACTCATCCTCATGCAAAGGGACAGGAGACTTACCCTACAAGCGAGCCGAGCCTTTTCGTGATCAGGTGCCATCCTCAAAGCCTGGACAAAGAACTGCACGGCCTTCTCGATACAGTCCTCGTAGTAAAGGCACAGACCCCTCACGTACAGGGCATCGGCATTAGTCGAGTCCATACGTAAAATATCACTGGTAGAAAATACAGAGAAATTAATAGCTGGAAGGATTGGAAATGATTTCAACCGCTAATAGCCTAGATAACTACTGTTAGCTGAGGCGGTGAAACACACACAAGGTATAATTACACAGCATACTTGTGATGTGGACAAGCTGTTCTCGTCAACATCACCGCTGAAATAGAAACCAGGGGGTGAGATCCTTGCATCGTCAGTAAGTTACAACGACGACTTGCATTTACACAGCGCCCCTCAGGCTGGGGAGGCATCCCAGGGCGCTTGACAGTGGCGGAGCATGACACTGAGCCGGTGGGGGGGAGTGACCATAGAGGAAGAGTGGCTGAAAGCGCTATTACTTAACACTCTCGCTATTGAAATGACAAAGGAATGAATATGTACCTGGCTACAGACTGGGCATCAGGATAGCGACCCAGCAGTGCTAAGCACTCAGCCTTCAGCATTTTGAAACGGTGGCAGGCGGGAGCAAACTCAAGGGCACGATCCATACAAAATACAACCTGGGAGGAGAAGAGGAATTTTTCTTTTTTTAAAAAAAAACCACAGGACAGTCAACGCTGTCCCATTCATCCGCAGGACAATTACCTCCCAGCCAGAAACGCTCTCAACGACTGAGATAATCACCCAAGATATCGCAAATTCATTCCATAGTCCTCGTAGTTTAAGCAAAATAAATGGACAACGCTAATTATTTATGATGTACTCTATATTGCAGTGGATAAAATATCACAGGAAGCAGGTTAGAGACTAATTCTCAATGGGGTCTATTGTGATCCAGGTGTAAACTCAAGTTGCAGTTGTCCTTAATTATGTAATTAACAATCTTTTTTTTATTAGTTGCGCATTACATGATTCAGAGAACCTCGCATATATTCTGTTAACCTAGAACCTTATACTTCCAACACCAACAACTTGTATTTATACAGCGCCCTTCAAGTTGGGTAAACATCCCGGAGCACTTGACAGTAGTGAAGTCTGACACCGAGCCAGGGGGGGAAGAGGGAGGTGACCGCAAGCACGATCAAAAAAAGGAAGGTCTTTAGGCGGGATTTGAAAGTGGGGAGGGAGGGGGGCAAGGCGGAGGGATGGATTACATATCTGATATTAGCTGCACTGGTACGGAGAGTCAGCGAGAGATGTTGCAAATTAATTGTTCTTTTAAAAAAAAAACTCCCGACGACGATTGATTTTGAAAGCGGCCCTCAGCGACCTCATTACCTTCCTGAAATCCCGCTTCTCAAAGTCAACCTCGGCCATTCTTTCATATTCTAGCAAAGCCTCTGCGTTCTTCAGCTGCCAAAAAAAAAATGAACAGGACGACAATTTAATACAATCTGTACATTTGATGCATTATCATGTCATCGAGACATCTCAAAGTGCTTCAGGATTTGCCTATAAAATGTAGCGACTGCGTATTTGTAGGGAAATGCAGCAGACGATCTAATGATAAAGAATGGCTGGAGGGGCTGAATGGCCTGCTCCTGTTCCTATGTGCTTTATCTGGAGGGGATTGTTGGCCAGGATTTAACGACGTGGGGTACGGTGGTGTCACTCACTGCTCCTTACCTCGTGAACTGCCTGAGTACTGCTGGGTTCCAGCTCCAGAACTCGTTGAAAGCAACGGCCAGCAGCCATGGCGTTTCCTAAAGAAAGGTGGCACTTCCCCTCTCGCAGGTGGCCCTGAAATTAAAACATATCAACATTATTTGCCAGTTGTTTCCCACCCCCACCCTCTATCAATTTCTTCCCCTCCAAATGTCACCCCAGCTCTCCTGTAGCTGTCTGATGAATCCAGATGCCCTCGCCTGTATTTCGCCGAGGTGGTTAAGACTGATGTGTGACCACCCCGCTATAATAAATAATCCTTTACATTTGATGCAGCGCATTATCACATCTTCAAGACGTCTCAAAGCGTTTCACAGGACATACTGTAAAGTGAATCGACTGTACAGTTTAGTGGGCAAAACATGGCAGCCAACCGCGCACAGCGGCGTCCCTACAAACAGTCACGGTCAAGTGTTGGGAGACGACGCTTAACATCAAGGGTGGGATGCTTGGATTCAACCTGAAGTCCACACATTCGAGCTGGAGGTCTCTGGATTGTGATCTGGAGCGGGAACACTCGCTGTTCTTTGCCTTCCCAAGCTAAGGGCTATTTATAGCATTCCAACTCCTGACCAAGCTGAGATAGTTAGCTCAGAACAATCTTGGATTCAAACCCGCAGCTTTGCAGCCTATATCCATTAAGGCTGCATACCAAGCCAATTAGAAGCATCACTTGATCAGATTTTTGTTTCACTTCGGCCTTCGCTGGTTTTATTATTTTCTAGAAAAGCACTGAAGTTGCAAATGGAAGAAGCGCAGGAAGCCACTAACTCACAGAGAGGGAACAGCAGAAGGAGATAATAAAAGGCAGCTACAGAGAGAGAGGGGGGAAGTACACAGCCAAAGGCAAACAGCAGCTAGTTTCTAGAAGGTGGTGTAACCCGCGATCCATTATCCAGCACTGACAGCTGAGCCTTTTTCACAGCTCCAAACACACAACAAAAGCTGAATGTTCTCTAAACCAGAGATTGTTTGCAATGATCAGCTACGACAGAATATGTCAGGTGCCTCTTTGGGCAGAAGTTAAAGGTTACTGCCGATCTCCTAAAGCAACCTCGGATTCACAACAGATCACGGACTTCTGCTCTACAGATCCACACATTCCCTGTCAATTGCATATTCAAAACGCCAGGATCTGAGGAGAGGACGATAATAATCGTTGCATTTGATACAGCGCCTTGTCACATCGTCAGGACATCTCAAAGCGCCTCACGGGATATACTGTAAAGTGAAGTGACTGTATATTTTGCGGGGCGAAACGCGGCAGCCAATTGCGCTCAGCAGGGTCCCGCTTGAGAGCAGTGGAGACAAACCATGCGAGATATCAAAGAACTCCTAAAGAGCGCTCGAGGGGCTGAATGGCCTCCTCCTGTTCCTGTGTTCCTACGCATGTTCCACTACCACTATTCGAGTTGATTTAAGAAAATGAGTGTCCTGGTAAGTCACGCTGCTTTTTATCTCGCGTTCTTTTAGAAGCAAACGAATCAAACGTGACCACAGCATAAAGAAGGATAAAGGGAGAGCGCCAGGGAAGCATTGATGGGGACAGGCTTTTGTTTGACAAACCCCCCCTCCCCCCGTCGTCCACCCATTGATAAAACTCAGGCTCAAGGCATAGCAAGATGGAGCGCCTCGCAAGCCACGTACCCTCATGAAGGTGTCGTCCAGCCTCACTGCTTGCTGTGCGTCTTCGAGAGCCTCCCGGAACCTGCACAGCATCATAAGAGTGGCTGCCCGGTTACCGTAGTAACTGGCACTTTTAGGGCACATATCTGAAAGAGTAAGAAATGGGCTGATTAGACGAAACACCGGGATATTCCATAAATTCAACCGCTTAAAATGAGAAAAACTATAGGTACGAGGCCCGAAAGGCAAGCGAAGCACCACTCATTCCCCACTCTCCCCCCAAACACGCTTAAAGCCACCCCCGACCACACCCGTGAGATTCTCTCTCTGCGTCCCACACAGCCAGCATCACCGCGAACTGGCATTTTGTTGAAACTCTTGCTGTCTGCTTCTTACCTATGGCTTTTGTGTAATAATTATATGCTTCATTGTAGTCCTTCTTGGCATAAAATGCGTTGCCTTGTTCCTTGAATAATTCAGCCTCTCTGTAGAATTGAAAAACAGTGTTATTGCTTCTGCAACCAATTACATCAATCCTTTATTTCTAATATATATATAGTCTTGAATTTTTTTTCAGTCTATTTAAAGAATTCGAAATGATAAGATTGCGGTGAAATGACGCAAGAGAAAAAAAAAGTACAGTGCATTTCAGTGTTGGCACTTTCTCGACGTACAGAGGAGTACATCACAAGAGACTGAATGAAGAAGGCTCTTTGGTCTATTATATCCAACGTTTCCAATCCTAGTGACTTTCCATTACAATATCAAAATGATTCCTGATCTGTCAACTTAGCTTTACGATCAAAAATAATAATAATCCTTGCATTTGACATAGCGCCTTATCTAGTTAATTGAAAGAGGGCAACTTCAAGTCAACTGTGGATTTTGTATTCCAGATCAAACGCAACCGAAAATTAGAAATCTTCTCCAGCTCACACACATTCCAGTTCAATTCAATCCACATGATCTTCCTACTGATACCGATTCAACCATGGATTAGTTAACTGCAAAAGTGAAAGATTGCTGCCATGCCCGAAACATTTACTATCAAGTAAGATTAGCCACCGTATTTTGCTTAGTTTTTGAAAGAAATTACCGGTTCTGCAGTCGACATGGCAACATAATAAGGATTTCAATAAACATTTGAAGAATGATGAATAAAATGACTTGGTAAAATAAACAAGGGGCAGATGGAGGGGAGAAACACTGAACGCTGGAGTTCCCACAGCAGTGTATGAATCAAAACTCAGGCTAATATTGTAGGGATGACCCCCAGGAGCAGTGACCCATCCTTCCCTTTCAGACACTGATCGCCCATCTATGGATCGCCAACTATTTCTGGTTTTATTTCAACGATGGAAAGGGATTTGAGAAGGAATTAAACCAACTAGAGAAGGCTTCGTGCGTATGAAGACGTAACTTTGCTGTCATACTGGGAACCCGCTGAAAGGTCCTCTTGAAATGCTACTGAATGCCACTGGCTCACAGCCTGCACTGACACTTTGCAGTCAAGTGAACAGAGCTTTAAACAAATACTATTACGTATGACTATCACTGACAAGCGCATGAAATATCGAAATGCTTAGATCTATACATAGGCACAGTAACTGTAGATCACAGTATTGCTGAAGCCACCACGAGTCACGGATTCCCAAAAGAAACTGCAGATGTTAAGAGCGTAAGCCAGACTGTCAGCGAAGGTTCTGAGAGCAAAAAGTACTATTCCTAGAAGCCTCAACATAATGTGGGAGCAACTGCGAGTCCAAAAATATTCCTGGATATCTAATTCAATTTTAGACATAGTTTCTTAAAAGGGCAAAAGGGCACTCAATTTTAATTTGCTTTCCAATTGCTGTAGCCAGTTAAACTCACAAGATGGCAGGACTGAAGAAGATTCGGAACCTCATCAGAAGAGGTTATACAATTTACACTCCATAATCCCAAGGTACCAGATTCAATTTAAATTTAGTACTGCCTCAGGTTTTTCTAACTCTATTACTGTATGTCACACTTTTTTTTTTTTACCAGTTACTTACAATAAGGTCCATGTATTTTCTGTAAAATTTCACCAATATTATGTGAGCGGTTGCCTTCCTTTCGAGGTGCCACCTGCCTGTTTGATGGGGACGTTAAAAGATCCCACGGAGCTATTGGAAAAGAAAAGGGAATTTCTCCCAGTGTCCTGGCCTACAATCCGCCAAATAAATTTATCACAGCCGAGCTACACCTGGCCTGAGAAGACTTACTGAAAAACACAAAGTATCTCAACGATTGTGATGAGACGCTATATCAAATGCGAGGATTTTTATTATTAAATTGCAAAACAAATTCATTGAACAGAACCAATTTGGACTCAAAAAAAATCCACCGAAACATTCCAGATGCGAGAAATTCAAAGTAATAGCTCCAACGACCGAATGCAGTGCGCTGAGCGTCAGGTTTGCTACAACAACGTAGTGACGGAGCTAAGATTTTCAAAACAATCACCGCGATTTTAACAGGGTACGCAAATTATTCTTCCAACGGACACTACGTTTTTAGTTGATGTTCACTAAAGCAAATTATTCTTCTGTAAAATGCATTGAAAAAGCAGGAGCTGAGTCGGTGCGAAATAGTAACGCAACCATATATCCGCCTTCAGAATCTATTTCCCCTCAGCAGTGCCCTTATTACGAGAAACTGGGGCCTCGAACTCGCATGGCAATTAACAGTCTACTTTGATCTGAAAAATGTGGGGTCAAAACTCGAGGATTTACAGATCGCGAAAGGCGGAAAAACAAAACAAAAAAGCTCTGCCAAACGAACTGCAAAGCCACCGAAACTTGTCGGCCAACACGAAAGCTGCACAGGAAACCCAAAGCATTTCAAGGCCTCGATTCAAGGGACGATGCAGTCAAACCCGGCGCAATTATTTCTTTGGATTGGGGGGGGGGGTGGGTAAGCTTTTATGAAGCGAAGCGGAGGAGTGAGGGCAAAGCTTTGAGGCCAGGATGGAAAGGGGAGGGGGGGGTAAAGTCCTGCGTGGAAGGTTCTAGATCTCAAATAGCGAGAGAGAGAGAGAGAGAGAGGGGAGAGAGACTTTTTTTGGCTCTTCCACCAACACATGTGAGGCTGGGAGTTTCTGGGGGAACTCGATACTCGACTGAAGACAATTTAAACAAATGCCTTCAGTGTATATATATATATGTATATTATATAATAATATATATTATTTACAGCTCAGGGCTAAATAATCCTTCTAGACATCAAATAAAACACCTAAAACCCACATGGTAGACACTTAACAGCCCCGATGGGCCTCATCCACCAACACCAAACACAACTGAGACAACCCTGGGAGATGCTGCCCCCCCCTCCTCACCCCCCACCCCCCCCCCCCACCCCCCCCCCCCCCCCCCCTCCTCACCCCCCACCCCCACCCCACCCTCCTCACCCCCACCACCAACCCACCCCTCATCCCCACCCAACGACAGAGAGAGTGAAAGGAGGGAAGGAAATCGAAGTTGAATTGAACAGAGAACCGATTTTTTTTAAAAAAAAGAAAACATATATTTACTGTTTAATCAAATGGATTTTTTTTGAATCAAACGAATTCTAACCCCCCGAACCCCCCCCCCCAACCCCCACCTCACAACCCCCAACTCCCCCCACAACCCCACCTCACAACCCCCGACTCCCCCCCACAACCCCCAACCCCCACCTCACAACCCCCGACCCCCACCTCACAACCCCCCCCCCCCCCCCACCCCCCGGGATATGCTGTAGTGAGAGTATATATACAAACAAACAAATGGATAAATAGTTTGGTTTGATGTTAAGATTCGAACCTTTGTTCGGCCTCTTTGTCCGAGAGCCGTGGACTAACAGTCGTCGTCCTCTCCCCCCCCCTCAGCCCCCACCACACACCCCCCACCACCACCGCCACCACCGGGTGGGGATCAAACTCCTACCTCGAGGCTTCATTTAAGGCCTCAAAGCCTAACTCTCCCCTCCCCCCCGCGCTCTCCCTCCCTCTCTCTCTCTACCCGCCTTTGTCTGCCCTCAGCCCGGCCTGAGCTGCTACTCGAGCCCGAGGCTTTGCGGCCTAGGGCTGAGGTGTCGGTGTGAGGCCGCCCCGCTCCCTCCCTCCCTCCGGGACCGACTCCCCCTCTCCTCTCCTCTCCCTCAGCCCCGGGTACCGACCTCTCCATGTCCGCCTCCTCCTCCGAGCTCACTTCTGGGGCCATCGTCACGTCGCAATCACCGGCCGCCATTTCCCGCCACCTGCAGCAGCTCCGGCGCCGACGCCGCTTCCGGTGCCCGCGGCCGCCAGAGGGGGCGCCAGAGAGTCACTGGCACCGACACCCACTGCCTCCTACACTGGCACCTACAGCCACTGGCACCTACACTGCCTCCTACAGCCACTGGCACCTACACTGCCACCTACACTGGCACCTACAGCCACTGCCTCCTACACTGGCACCTACAGCCACTGGCACCTACACTGGCACCTACAGCCACTGGCACCTACACTGGCAACTACAGCCACTGGCACCTACAGCCACTGGCACCTACAGCCACTGGCACCTACACTGCCACCTACAGCCACTGGCACCTACACTGCCACCTACAGCCACTGGCACCTACAGCCACTGGCACCTACACTGGCACCTACAGCCACTGGCACCTACACTGGCACCTACAGCCACTGGCACCTACACTGCCACCTACACTGGCACCTACAGCCACTGGCACCTACAGCCACTGGCACCTACACTGGCACCTACAGCCACTGGCACCTACAGCCACTGGCACCTACACTGGCACCTACAGCCACTGGCACCTACACTGGCACCTACAGCCACTGGCATCTACAGCAACTGGCACCTACACTGCCACCTACAGCCACTGGCACCTACACTGCCACCTACACTGGCACCTACAGCCACTGGCACCTACAGCCACTGGCACCTACACTGCCACCTACACCCACTGGCATCTACAACAACCAACAAATTGTTGGGGTCAGGATGGGTGGAGGGCATGGGAGGGTGGCCGAAAGCAAGGTCGAAGAGGAAGGTCTTTAGACTGGACTTGAGAGGGTGTGGCGGGGGGTGGGGAGGTGGGGGCGAGGCAGAGGGACTGAGGGATGGAGTTCCAGAGGGTGGGGGCAGAGCTACTGGCACATACACTGATACCCAAAGCCTGAGACCCTCACTGGCACTGACTGAGCCCGGGCAGCAGGGTTGGGAGGGGTGGAGACTGGCACTGGCTCCAATTCAGGTTTATTCGGTGACCTTATCTGCAGTTTAACTGCCACTGGTTGTCTTGAATCCAAAGGCAATAATGGTGCAGCGGATTGTCACAGTGGAAGCCGCGTACGAGAGGCTGCGATGGTGGGTCCTCCCCAAGTATTTCTCTCTTAAGTATTTCAATTTACGCGTCTCTGTGCCTGTCCCTCTGTACCTGTGTGTGTGTCACTGTATGTGTCCCTGTGCCTGTCCCTCTGTACCTGTGTGTCACTGTATGTGTCCCTGTGCCTGTCCCTCTGTACCTGTGTGTCACTGTATGTGTCCCTGTGCCTGTCCCTCTGTACCTGTGTGTGTCACTGTATGTGTCCCTGTGCCTGTGTCCCTGTGCGTGTGTCCCTGTGTGTGTGTGTGTGTCCCTGTGTGTGTGCGTGTGTGTGTCCCTGTGTGTGTGTGTGTGTCCCTGTGTGTGTCCCTGTGCGTGTGTCCCTGTGCGTGTCCCTGTGTGTGTGTGTGTCCCTGTGTGTGTGTGACCCTGTGTGTGTGTCCCTGTGTGTGTGTGTCCCTGTGTGTGTGTCCCTGTGTGTGTGTGTGTCCCTGTGTGTGTGTGTGTCCCTGTGTGTGTGTCCCTGTGTGTGTGTGTGTCCCTGTGTGTGTGTGTGTGTCCCTGTGTGGGTCTGTCTGTCGATGGTCTATGTGTCATGTGTTTGTCTGACTGTCCCTGTGTCTGTGTGTGTGACTGTGAGGGCCTCCGGGCTGTGGGGGGCGCTGTCTGAGGAGGACACACACTCACACACACACACGGAGCGGCTGCGGTGTGGTATTGCCGCGGGTCGGACCAGTTTAGAGCGGAGACACAGACACAGACAGTCTCCCTGTCCCCTGAGGTGGGGAACCGGGGGGGGAGGAGGGTGTGGGGGGGGGTTCAGGGTGTGTGTGTGTGGGGGGGGGTTCAGGGGTGTGTGGGGGGGTTCAGGGTGTGTGTGTGTGGGGGGGGGGTTCAGGGGGTGTGTGGGGGGGTTCAGGGTGTGTGTGTGGGGGGGTTCAGGGTGTGTGTGGGGGGTTCAGGGTGTGTGGGGGGGGTTCAGTGTGTGTGTGGGGGGTTCAGTGTGTGTGGGGGGGGGTTCAGTGTGTGTGTGGGGGGTTCAGTGTGTGTGGGGGGGGGTTCAGTGTGTGTGTGGGGGGTTCAGTGTGTGTGGGGGGGGGGTTCAGTGTGTGTGTGGGGGGTGGTTCAGTGTGTGTGTGGGGGGGGGGTTCAGTGTGTGTGTGGGGGGTTCAGTGTGTGTGGGGGGGGGGTTCAGTGTGTGTGGGGGGGGGGTTCAGTGTGTGTGTGGGGGGGTGGTTCAGTGTGTGTGTGGGGGGGGGTTCAGTGTGTGTGTGTGTGGGGGGGGGGTTCAGTGTGTGTGTGTGGGGGGGGGGTTCAGTGTGTGTGGGGGAGGGGTTCAGTGTGTGTGGGGGGGGGGGTTCAGTGTGTGTGTGTGTGGGGGGGTTCAGTGTGTGTGTGTGGGGGGGGGGGGTTCAGTGTGTGTGTGTGGGGGGGGCTCAGTGTGTGTGTGTGTGTGGGGAGGGGTTCAGTGTGTGTGTGTGGGGGGGGTTCAGTGTGTGTGTGGGGGGGGGGTTCAGTGTGTGTGTGTGTGTGGGGGAGGGGTTCAGTGTGTGTGTGGGGGGGGGGGTCGCCTCAGCCCCACATTAACCAGAGAGATGGCGGCCTGGTTTGTGTGTGTGGGGGGGGGGGGGGGGGGGGGGGGTGAGGCCTAAAGGCTCTGGGGGTTTGGTGGCTGTGAACTATTATTATTATTATTGTTGTTGTTATTGTTGTTGTTGTTGTTATTATTACTGTTCTCCGCCGCCGCCCCTTCCTGTCCAGTTGTGGGCGTTAAAAGAGCCCTCACAAGGCATTCGGCAAAGGAGAAAGAGTTTCTATCTCTCTCCTCTCTCTCTCTCACTCCTTCTCTCTCTTTCTCTCACACTCTCTCTCTCCCTCCTCTATCTCTCCCTCCTTCTCTATCTCTCTCCTATCTCTCTCCCTCCTTCTTTCTCTCTCTCCCTCCTTCTCTCTCTCTCCCTCCTTCTCTCTCTCTCTCTCCCTCCTTCTCTCTCTCTCTCTCACTCACTCCTCTCTCTGGGTGTCCAGGCTGTCTCTCTTCCTCCTTCTATCTCTCACCCTCCTTCTCTCTATTTCTCTCCCTCCTTCTCTCTATCTCCCTCCTCTCTCTCACTCCTCTCTCTCTCTCTCACTCACTCCTCTCTCTCTGGGTGTCCAGGCTGCCTCTCTTCCTCCTTCTATCTCTCACCCTCTCTCTGGGTGTGAAGGCTGTCTCTCTCTATCTCTCTCTCTCCCCCTCTCTCTCTCCCTCCCCCCCCCCAACACCAACAGTTGTGTCCGTCTTGTCCCCTCTTCCTTCCCCATCTTCAGGTCGGGCATTGAGACCTTCCTCTTCGACTGTGCTTACGGTCACCTCCCACCTTCTCTACCCCCCCCCCGCCCCCCACCCACCCACACTCTCCCCCCCAGTTCAGCATCGTTCTCCACCACTGTCGAGCTTCATCCAATTGAGCGCTTTTTAAGACACTACCGTCTGCAAGTAACTTTATCACGTTGTTGTTCTTGTGGCGATGCTGTTTCGATCCACCGCCGGGCAAACGTCACTTCATTATTTTGACGTGCACGAGGCCGGGCAAAGGTTGTACAAAACCGTTACGATTTACGGGATCCAATGTTTCTCTTCTTTAAACCTTTCAAAGTCCGGCTGAGCCCCAATAACAACAGCAGCAGCAACAGCAACTTGCATTTATATAGCAACTTATATAGCCCCCTCACGCAGGGTTGCGTCCCAGAGCACTTGAGCGCATTCATTAATTGATTGATTGATTGATTGATTAAACAATCAAACAAAATAAACAAACAAATAAGAAAAAGGAATCCAACTGCTTTGGGTGGGGATAAGATCTCACTGCCTTCTGTTAGTTCGCTTTGTGCGATGGTCTTTCAGTTGCTGTGCGCTCACACCTCGTCTTGTTTGCGTCCTCAAGGCAGTCCTCCGGCGTTGGGATTCTCTTGGCCTGCGTTAGCACCGGCTTCAGATGGGCAAGAGCTGCAAAGTGGTGGTTTGCGGCCTGGCGTCCGTTGGGAAAACCGCCATTCTGGAACAGCTCCTGTACGGAAACCACTCCGTCGGTAGGTGTTTCGCCCACAAAATACGCAGTCACTCCACTTTACAATATATTCCGTGAAGCGCTTTGAGACGTCGCGACGACGTGATGAGGAGCTGTATCAAAGGCAAGGATTATTATTATTGTAACTGTTAAAGCACGAGCTCGGTTTTCCTCCTCTGCTCTGCCACAGCTCGTTGGTTTTGTGCACAAGATGGTACATATGGAATCCCGTAGCTCAGTGGTTAGAGCACTCGCCTTACAAGCGAGACACCTGGGTTCGATTCCCGGCAGAGGGCGAAACCTCGGGCAAGTTTCCTTACTGCACACAGAGCCTAATAATAATCCCTCCAAAACAAAACAATGCTCATTTTCAATCCACGACTGTCTGTGGGACGCTGCTGTGCGCAATTGGCTGCCGCCTTTCGCCCACAAACGTATGGTCAATTCACTTTACAGTCTATTCTGTGATGCGCTTTGAGACGTCGAGAAGACGTGAAAAGCGCTATATCAAAATGAAAGGATTACTACTACATTAAGTGCTTCACCTGTCAGTGATACGGGAGCCAAGCGTTCTCTTAGTCTCGTTCTCAACGGTGACGTCTGTGAATCCTGGCCTGACATAATGTACGTTTCAGTCAATGGGACTCTTCCCTGTAGGTTACAAGGTTGTGGGTTCAAATCTCAAGCCACGCCCTGATCTCATAATACTGGGCGGGGGGGTGGGGGGGAACCACTATATTTTGAGAGGTGCCGTCTTTTGAATGAAACGTAAAACCGAGACCCAGTCTGCTTATTCAGGCGGATGTTTTAAGCTCCCTGGCACCCTGAGTGAGGGGGTGCTACATAAAGGTAAGTTGCTCTTGTTTAAAATTCCCGCAGCACTAATTGAAAACAGAAGGGGCGGTCCCCCCTCCTGACCAACAGTCGCTCCAGATACATTGGGTCCATCGTGGAGTATTTATCACTAAAAACACAAAATGGTGTTGCTTTCACCAAGCTCCGACTGATGCGACTGTGAACCTTTCTGCTCCGTCCCTGAAGGCTCTGAAACAAATGAAACGCTGGAGGATATTTACGTGGGCTCCGTAGAGACGGACCGCGGTGTCCGGGAGCAGGTGCGTTTCTACGACACCAGAGGCCTGAGGGAAGGCTCGGAGCTTCCCAAGCATTACTACTCCTTCGCTGACGGCTTCGTGCTGGTGTACAGCATCGACAGTCGGGAATCCTTCAAGCGAGTCGAAGCCCTCAAGAAGGAGATCGACCGATCCCGGGACAAGAAAGAGGTAGCGTATCCGACACTGCGCGCACGCTGCGTACGGTAACCCGTCGAGCGTAATGTACGTTTGACCCGAACCGATGAGATTAGTTGGGTCAACCATCTATCGTGCAAGAACTGCCTGAGCCCCTGATCTGACCCACTTTGGAATCAAGCTCACAAATTGTACAGTCAATTCAATTTACAGCGTATCCCGTGAAGCGCTTTGAGACGTCTCGAAGACGTGATGAGGAGCCGTATCTATCAAATGCAAGGATTATTGATGGTTGTTGTTACGATAACTGAGTTCAACCCAGTGAGGACCATTGTGCACCACAAATGCTGTGCTGCGGGGTAGATGGTGTCACTCCCCGAGCCAGGGGGAGAGGGAGTGGGCTGGGGTGGTGACCGTAAGCACGATCACAAGGGAGGTCGTTTGGCGGGAGTTGAAAGTGGGGAGTGAGGGAGGTGGGGGGCGAGGCGGAGGAGGGATTGAGGGAAGGAATTCCAGAGCTGGACGTCTCGGAAGACGTGATAACAAGGCGTCGGTATCAAATGCAAGGAGCGTTGCTTCTGGGCTGAACGAGCTCCCTGAGGTTTTACCCTCCCCCCCCCCCCCCCTCCTCCTCACAGGTGACGATCGTGGTCCTGGGGAACAAGTGTGACCTTCAGGAGCAGCGGAGGGTGGATCAAGAAGTGGCCCAGCACTGGGCCAAGACGGAGAAGGTGAAACTGTGGGAGAGCTCGGTGGCAGAACGCAAGACTCTGATCGAGCCCTTCGTGCACCTGGCCAGCAAGATGACACAACCTCAGAGCAAGTCCACCTTCCCTCTCAGCCGCAAGAAGGGCAGCGGCTCGATCGACACCTGAAGCCTGAGTTTTGAGACCTCCCGACGTCGCAAAGCCGTAGCCATTCCTCTACATCCTTTCTCCCTCTGAGGGCTTTGTACGTTCTACACATGTGCTGTGTATATATATACCCGTTTGTTTCGCCCACAAGATGTACAGCCACTTCACTTGACAGCGTATTTCTGTGAAGCACTTTGAGACGTCTCGAAGACATGATAGGGCTCTGTAGCAAATGCAAGGATTATTATTATTTATTATTGATACCCTCCGCACAGCTCCCAGGAACTGGGCGAAGTTCCGGGGGCTTGCGGCTGAGGAATTTCCTGAATGTTATTAAACCCGTCGACGTTAAACGTTTAAGCTTCTTTCTGTACGGAATACGTCTTTACCCCAAGAGGGAATTCCGTGGCTGAGCGCAGTATCGGTACAGCACTTTGTAAAGTGGTGGGGGGGTGGGAGGGCGGTGAAGTACGTGTTTAATCCACAAGTGGGCAATATTGCTCTGTGTTTGGCTGCTTAAAGATCGTTGCTAACAGCTTCGGAGAGGGCTCAGAGCTCCTCCATCACTTGCCGCTCCACTTAAAAGCAAGTTACTGACAGCTTTAATCATGCACGGCTGCTAATGTCAGTAAGAATCCAGCACAGGGGCCAGCGGAGAGATTAGACTGATGTGCGCATTACTGTCAGTCTTACACATCCAGGTGCAGCCTCAAGGAGAACGTTGACTCTTCCGATTAAGCCCGAGTGGCCTGTGCATATAAAGCGATCTGTCTTTACCAAGGAAGCAGCGAAGAGATTCCCCGCCTGCGATGACCTAGTTAGTAAAGACGTCACCTTGTTTAGTGCTGGTCTATACAGGCCGCCGGTTAGACTCCCCGCGGGGCTCTGTGCTCAATTAGGAGATCGCACTGAGGGTATGGGGTAGCCCCCAACCCCAGGGAATGGGATTAGGAGCTATATTACCCTCTGCCCCCCACCCCCAACCCCACCACCTACCTATTTTAGGGAAGGGAAAAAGAACCAGGATCCTGCCCTGCTCTGCATCTAAATACTCCCCGCGGGAAGGAGCAGGAATCTGGTCGTTGAGTAAGAACAACGACAACATAAACTATATTTGTGTATCGCCTTTCTCGTCATCAGGCGTTCGATTTGGTTTGGCCTTTTTGGCAACACTCACCATCCAGGCTCCCACACGAACAAAGGCCACTTGATGTCCACTGTGCCAAGTGACAGTCCATCCACTAGTACAGTACATATAATATACAATATATACAGTCAATCCACTTCACAATATTTCCTGTGAAGCACCTCGAGATGTTCCAGTGCATCGAAACGCAAGTATTATTACCAATCAATGCTACAGGTGTCACTAGACCCTGGGCACTGCCCAGATCGTGTTGAGACAACTACAACAACTCGCACTCACATAGCGCCCCTCAAGCAGGTTGGCGTTTCAGAGAGCTCGACGTGGCGGAGCCCGGCGAGTGCTTTATCGGTCGATTTAAATGCTGAACGTGCTGCTGTCCCTGGGATTTGTATGTTGGAAAAGGGAATGACTTTTATTTTACACACATTCACACACACACACACACACACCAGGTTTACAGAGCAAAAGTTCAGCTTTTAATTCCACACGACACAGATCGTGGGTTTGACGGGTTTGGAAGCTAAAAGCGAGAGCAGGAAGAAATATGACAAAAATGTCATCGTGTGGGTTTAAATATACTCCTGGTACCTTTCACGGGCAATGCAGTATTGACTGTTTTACAACCTTTCACTCTCGTTTTATTTATGAAGGTATAACAACTTTAATAGCATTTTCTGTTGCTCCCACAAAATGCTCAAGTCACTCCGCTTTACAGTGTATCCTGTGAAGTGCTTTGAGACGTCTCGAAGACCTGATAAGGCACTGTATCAAATGGCATTGTTATTATTAACACAGAGAAGCAGCACTGGTGAAAACTGTTCAGACCCACTCACTCACTGTGAAATATCGACACTGTAAACTACATTTTACTGAAATGATTTTCGTTTAAAGGTTTATGAAAAAGGAGGTTCCCAATGTTTCTTAATAATAATGACAATAATAATGATGCAAGGATTATTATCAGGCAGATAAATAATAAGAGTATCTCTAATTGTGAGCCAAGACTTTCATTAATAAAGGTGAACGAGCTTCTTAATGAAGGTGGTATTTCATCAATGGGGACACAGCAGTCCCAGCTCGCTGTCTGCCCGCAACAACAACTTGCATTTATATAGCACGCTTCATACGAGGTAATGTCTCGGAGCACTTAAAGCAAACCCCAGGGATATAAGGCAGTCCCTTAAAAGAGGATGGGGTGGGGAATAGCAAGGGGTGGGGGATAGCAAGGGGTGGGGGATAGCAAGCTAGCAGTCACGCAGGGGCCACTGGCAAACTTTACAGGACTTGGAAAAGTTTGATTTTGATCCTGTTTGCTAGCAATCAGAGCCTGAATGTAGGCAACACTAATGCTAGTGTACAGCGCCTGTAAACATCTCAACTCTTCACAGATAATTTCTCTGTCATGTGAAGTGACGTACTGCTAATAGTGTAGTGCAGAACGCAGTGATGATGATGTGGATTGAGCATAGGGTGCGTGGGGTGGAGTTGGGGGGGGGGGCAAGAGATTATAGTCTGAATAGGGCATTATAAAGCAAAGAACAGCCGGGATTAAATAAATAATAATTATGATAATCCTTGCATTGAACAGCCTGGGATTACGTGGATCTATTGAGCACTCAGGGCTTAGCTCAGTTGGTTGACTTTGGAAAGCTCTGGTTCAAAGCTTAACCAGTCAGTGTAACTCTTCCCCCTTTTATTGATCGATCAAACGCCACGTCTACGTTAGCAGATTCCTTCAACACATGGATCCCACCCACCTTAACCATCCCAAAATCCAAAGCCTTGTTGACGGGTGACCAGCCATTTTAAGGTGGTGACATATCTCGTAGAGTCATAGAATCCCACAGCGCAGGAGGACATTCGGACCATTGTGCCCGTGTCGGCGCTTTGGGAAGAGTTATCCAATTAGTCCCGCTCCATCGCTCTCTCCCCCGTAGCCTTGCAGATCATGGCTCTGTGAGCTGAAGGTCGGAGGGAGTGGGCAAGGTGGGCCGAGCTGGACACAGGCAGTCAAAGGTTCATAGCGTAAGGTGCGTGGCTACAAATCGTGAGATGCGGAGCAGGATTAGGGCTACTTGTGGCTAAACAGCTTTTAATTGTAAGGGCATAAATCCTGACCAGGGAGTGGTTGACGCTCACTCTTGTCAGGAAGATTGAGAGGAAAATTTTGTTTCGAACCAATTAAAAGGTCCGCGGTGAGCAAACAGCTGCCAATTAATCGTCCGACGAATACTGTTTAAGAGGAGCTTCCAGGCTATCGACTAGAGGCAGCTGGAACTGGGTGATTACTGCCCTCTCCTACGTGTCAATTGGCATAAATCAGCACGAATGTAATGTTCAAAAGCAAATACGTTGCCGGGGAGAGAAAAAAAAAGGCTTCCCTTGGTTCTGCCCCAGAGAGACGGGACTTCTGAACTTCTGAACTTATCTCAGCCACCTCTTTCGTCGAGCGCAAATTAAAAGATTCAGGAGAATTCACGGCAAAATAAAAAAGCTGCGATAGTGATTGTCACCTGTGTGCATCTGTGAAGTCTTAAAATAATTAAACCCCGTAGAAAGAATCACCTCATCCGTACCCTCGTGTCGAACGGTTTGCGAAAGGGAGTGCTGGTGGGACACTGAATGCCGCGTTTCGCCCACAAACATACACGGTCGGTTCACTTTGCAGTACATTCTGTGAAGCGCTTTGAGACGGCTCGAAGACGTGATCACGACCACAACAAATGACATTGCTATTAAGCTATTCCCCACCTCCAAATGTTCTTGTCTGTCACTGAACGGTTCCTATTAAATAAAGACTGGGGAACACAATTGCAAATGTCTCTGCTTTCTCCACCCATGACTTATTTCTGGGCAGATCACCAACGTTTAAGCACACACTGTCACTTGCTCTCGAGATGTCAGCTGGGAGATACAATATTGACATAAAGATGTACAGGGCCGAAAAAAAAACCTATCATGGTCCATCTGGCTGGCTGGCCCCAAAAGTTAAACCAGAATCATATATTTCTCAATCTCCGCAATCCTCTGCTTCCCCTATTAATTTCTCTGCCAAATCGCTATCTAATTGCCTCTCAAATTTGCTGACACATTTCTTGCCTCCTTCCCTGTGTCTTCCACCCACTGTCCTCTGTGTAAATCTGCTTCTGAGGCTAAAGGCCATGTCCACTTGGTGTTGAGACTGCGAACGTTAAACATTGATATAAATTGAATTTATCCATATTTTGTACCGTTTAAGATCTTGAATGTTCGAACAAGAATCTCCCGGAGTCTTCTCTTCTCCGGGGAAACCATTCCCTTGTCCTTGCGATCCAAATGCCTAACTCCAATAATAAAAAAAGAAAAAATAATAATAATTCGGTCGCTCAATCCACGACCGTTTGTGGGGGACGCTGCCGTGCGCAATCGGCTGCCGCGTTCCGCCCACAAAATACGCAGTCACTCCACTTTACGATACATCCTGTGGAGCGCTTTGAGACTTCTCGACGACGTCTTAAGGCGCTGCATCGAACCCAAGGGTTATTATTATTATTTTAAAAGGCCGAACGGCTTTTGCCCTGTCGAGGGACGTCTCGACCTTCGGGGAAACGCTAACGTGGCGACAAGCTAGTAACAAGCAGGGAAAGAGTTACACAAAAACAAGACCTTGTTGGTTGCCTTTTGTGTGAGGAAGGCAAAGCCTTTAATTCCCAGGGGTTGCGGGCAAGCCATTCAGAGCTCTCCTCTTTCTTCTTTCGACATTTAATTACAGCCATTGCCTCCCACTTATTTGCCTCTTAAACCCTCTGGTCACACCGTTCTTTGCTCACTTATTTAAGGCACCTGGGTTGCCATGGAACCATCCATCCCAAGCATTATGGGGTTAAAGCACACCGTTTGACTGAACGGTTTCCTCATAATTCGCGGACGGGAAACAATGCCATGACAACCATCACACCAGCCTGTCCTCGTGTCCGGCCGTGTACAAAGCTGTCCCGAAATGTCTAAATATTGTTTAAAAGTTGGACAGCGAAAACGTCCATTTTCAAGTGAGACGAGAGATTTTCTTCGAATGTATTTTGTAGGGAGCGCGCAGGATTAGAAAGGCCTGCACTGTCAGAGTCCTTTCTCCTCTGCGAGATACTTGCGCTATTTTCCATTAAATGCCCTCCACGATCTCCCTGGTGATTTATTCTGACAACCCTTCGGGAGACGTTCTTCTGA